ATATTAGATTTTAGAAGTAGAAATTTACTTGGAAATCAAATTTTATGCTCGTCCTATAGTAGGTGACAGAAATCAGTTTTTAAAGAATATATTTGAAGCTAAATTATAGCTGAAAATGTATTCAGAGATCAGCAATTGAAAACGCAGAAGCTAACATTGATCTGTAAACGCAGATTAGTAGATAATGTTGATCTGAAAACGCTAATAGTAGCTAAGATTGTTCTGAAAACGCAGTCCAGTGGCTAATATTGATCTGAAAACGCGGATCAGTAGCTAATGTTGATCTGAAAAAGCATACAAGTAGCTAATATTGATCTGAAAACGCAAATATTAGCTAAGATTGTTCTGAAAACGCAGTCCAGTAGCTCATATTGATCTGAAAACGCGAATCAGTAGCTAATGTTGATCTGAAAAGCATACCAGTAGCTAATATTGATCTGAAAACGCAAATATTAGCTAAGATTGTTCTGAAAACGCAGTCCAGTGGCTAATATTGATCTGAAAACGCAAATATTAGCTAAGATTGTTCTGAAAACGCAGTCCAGTGGCTAATATTGAAAGAAAACGCAGATCAGTAGCTAATGTTGATCTGAAAGCGCATATCCGTAGCTAATATTGATCTGAAAACGCATTCCGCAGGCTAATATTGATCTGAAAACGCATTCCGCAGGCTAATATTGATCTGAAAACGCATTCCGCAGGCTGATATTGATCTGAAAACGCTACAATGGATCTTAAAAAGCATTGAACAAACTACAATTGATCCGAAAATGCATAAAAGACGTGTCATGATCTAAAATGTAACTAGAAATTAGTTCTTTCAGCTGTGTTACTGCAAACTGGTAACTATCATTACTTAGTGACTATTGTGATGGACACAAATAAATGTCAGCAATGAGACAAAGAGAAAAATCATTTGTATTGGAGATTCTATGAAGATCACAATGTTGATACATCTATATAAATGACACATAAAGAATAATTATGTGACTTCGTGTTGCCTTTTATACTGAGTTATCAATCAATAAAAAATAGATTTTTGAAATTCCACCATAATTGATTAATAAGGTAGAAAAGAAGATGATTAATCATTAAGTATTTGTAAGAGGATTTCTATAGTTATAATTATCTGAAGAAAGAGAGGGGTGGAGGAGTTTACATAATTTGAATATTTCAATTCGGAAGTGAAAATGAATATACGCAATCTGTATAGCCTACCTACACATGTATGTGTTTCAGAACTTTTTCATAAATCATTTACTAAATTAATAGGTTATTAGAAAAAGTAAGCTAAGTAGAGGAATATAATGTTAAATGTCGCCAAGTCGTCAAGAGTGTAGTTCTATTTTATAGTAACTGATGTCATAGTTCTACTAATATAATATAACACTAACTATACTAAAGTACCAAGAGACACGATTCTAAGAGAGATAGTGACAAAGTTAAGAGAACTGCAGTCGTGGTTCCATTCCACTCTATTTACTTATACACATCAGACTCTTTAAAACAACCTTTCTACAAGTGGAGACAAACACACTATTTTTAGCACATTTAAGAAATAACGATCGACAGTGTGGAGATTTCGTTGCCAACAGATCGATGCTGTGTCATAGGCTAGTTATCCACTGACAATGTCAAATTCATCGATCTAAAGAGTACTGCGAATTGTTTATATAACTCACCATAACAAACAACTCTTCTATATTTAATGGCATTTAGAGAATGTTCACAATAAACGAATCTTACCTTAAAATGCCGCTAGTTTTCATTCATCCTTGATAATTTTCACATTGATAAAAGTGATATTTACTGTAAGTTACGTTGAAAGTTCATGTAGAGGAATTTACGCCATCCACCCATGCAAGTTCATAACACAGTTTCTAATACGCATGTCAGCTTTATAGTAACTAGTTTGGCATCGGGTCAAGGTCGTTTATGTTTATCTCAGTTTTCTGTAGTAGAATTCCTCTATGAATGAAGAGACCAACGAACCAATCAATGAGGGCTGTAAAATATTTATAGAATCGTGTTATTTACGCTACAAGCCTATGTCATTTATTTTTTCATTGTGTAGGCATTCTTATTCAAAAGGATATTAAGATATCTTAATTTTTTATAATTGATGACCTTAAAGGGATAATGCCCACTGATTATTCAGTAAATAATCAAGTGGTGTCTTTAAGCTGAACGGGACACACGCGCCTTTTATGTCCCTTGTGACTGGTTATTAACGGATTGTCATTAAGGGGTATTAGCGTCGAAGTATTCTGATAATCAACTTCTCAAGACCAATTTGGCTATTTTGAATTTATATTTAACGGGAAAAGATATTTGACTTCTATCTCTTGGGATAACAGAGCGACATTCCAAGTATTTTTGAATCTCGTTGGTTGAGATACACATGTCACGGACGTGTAAATACTAGAAATATCAGAAGCGAAAAACCAAGCTTTGGCTGTGTGAAACATCTATAATATCCCAGTCTTAAAGGCCTCGATGCGTCATTTTCGGGGGTTGATTTGAGTCTTGAATGTATGTAAATAATCTTCAGAAGTACTAGAACTGTGCATAAATCGCATAATCCTTTGAAATATACCTCAAACTAGAAATTTTACTCACTATTTCTATATATATCTTTTCTATATATGGCGTAGTATCAAGAGAAGAAGAGTTGCCATTTTAACTTTCGAACGCAGATAATTCTGGACACACATGGATTTGAAGGCTAAAATTTCGACGGTGAGATGTGAATACTATTACTGATTAGGTCTGAGACTAAGGTAGTAGCTAATATTAACTAATAGTAGCTAATATTGATCTGAAAACGCGGATCAGTAGCTAATGTTGATCTGAAAAAGCATACCAGTAGCTAAGATTGTTCTGAAAACGCAGTCCAGTAGGTAATATTGATCTGAAAACGCAAACATTAGCTAAGATTGTTCTGAAAACGCAGTCCAGTAGCTAATATTGATCTGAAAACGCAAACATTAGCTAAGATTGTTCTGAAAACGCAGTCCAGTAGCTAATATTGATCTGAAAACGCAAACATTAGCTAAGATTGTTCTGAAAACGCAGTCCAATAGCTAATATTGATCTGAAAACGCAAACATTAGCAAAGATTGTTCTGAAAACGCAGTCCAGTAGCTAATATTGATCTGAAAACGCAAATATTAGCTAAGATTGTTCTGAAAACGCAGTCCAGTAGCTCATATTGATCTGAAAACGCAAATATTAGCTAAGATTGTTCTGAAAACGCAGTCCAGTAGCTCATATTGATCTGAAAACGCGGATCAGTAGCTAATGTTGATCTGAAAAAGCATATCAGTAGCTAATATTGATCTGAAAACGCAAATATTAGCTATGATTGTTCTGAAAACGCAGTCCTGTGGCTAATATTGATCTGAAAACGCGGATCAGTAGCTAATGTTGATCTGAAAAAGCATACCAGTAGCTAATATTGATCTGAAAACGCAAATATTAGCTAAGATTGTTCTGAAAACGCAGTCCAGTGGCTAATATTGAAAGAAAACGCGGATCAGTAGCTAATGTTGATCTGAAAGCGCATATCCGTAGCTAATATTGATCTGAAAACGCATTCCGCAGGCTAATATTGACCTGAAAACGCTACAATGGATCTTAAAAAGCATTGAACAAACTACAATTGATCCGAAAATGCATAAAAGACGTGTCGTGATCTAAAATGTAACTAGAGATTAGTTCTTTCAGCTGTGTTACTGCAAACTGGTAACTATTATTACTTTGTGACCTGTTTCTGAGACTAAGGTATACCAATGGCGAACGTTTCCATTTAATAAATCTCAATTCGTGTCCAGTTCCAGGCCTCCAGGCTGAGTTTGATTAAGACTAGTTGTGCATAGTATGCCGGTTTAAATCTAGAACAGCGCTTAATATCTTTGATATATTCAATCTATTTGAAATTACTTCTGAGAAATCTTGACTCAGTTGACTGTATATATGTACCTTGTTTGGCATTTTCAATAATTTTCGCTATAACACCTTGCGTAACACATTAAATGCTTTGCTATAGTATAATCAATGGGAACAATGGATGACTATCAATGAGTTTCCTGCAACACCCATCAAACTCTCACCGAAGACTTCCTTCCTTAAAACACACCATATAGGCACAAACATTGGCAGGTCTTTTCTAAATTGTCATATAATACTGATAATACTTCCATTGAAATTTAATTCTAACATAAAACATAACCTGTTTACAATACAAAAACACAACTAAACCTATTTCTAAAATATGTACATTAACAAAAATATACATAAGATCAATTGGTCCAGCCAAATAATATCACGAATCATATGTACATTCTAAATATATATCTTAAATTCATTTAGCAGATTTTCATTTTATTTGTGAACAACATTTAATGTAAATAGCAATCATATTTATTAATCTATGCTCTTCAAGCACATAATAAGAATCATATCAAAATTTCTTTTGGCTTATGGTCGTTTTTAACATTCAATTTGTAAATGGAAAAGAAAAAGCAAGACAGGTTCATCTAATTTTATAGTAAAGGTATAGAATTTTGAGTTTTTCAATCATGTCTACATCAATCTATTAATTATATATATGTACAAGAAATATTACACATAAATCCAAACAATATACAGGACATATTTCAATATAAAATATAAACTCTACAATTGATGTACTGAGAACTATTTTAACAGTAAAAATATTTTATTATTGTAAAATGTAAACTAAATATATTTGATCCCCAGCAGAAAAACAGAAATGCTTTCTTAATGAGATTAAAACCTCCAAATTTCAATTCAGGTATAGGATAAATAATTTCCTCATAAGCATGAAGCAAATTGTGATCTCTTGGACTTGTCAACATGGAAATAATGTCTTTCATTGACAAATTTAGGCAAATATCCTGAAATGCTAGCAGTGCCACTAACATAGTATGTATAATCTCATGAATGAAATATTGGTAATTCTGGAAACTCTAAGAGTGTCAGGAATCCATATAATAATCTTCTTGAAACAGATCTTCCCTTTCTACTACATATCTAAAATAAGAAAGGAGTAAGAAGGTTTTTTTTGGTATTATGTAGAATATTATTGCCAAGGATAATCTAAGAGAAATAGCTAACTGCAAGTTCTAAACTCATGATTTATTAAAAGCTGTTTTAACTTCAGCAATAACAGATTAAAACCAACATATCATTAGTAAAGAAAAAATAAGACATCAAAAGATAAAAATTATTTTTTGATGATATCTCAATGATCTATTGCCATCGTTATTGTCACAAACTAAAACAAAATGATAAAGTTTTGCATAGACCACAGTATATTAAATAAGTCATAATGACACAAAACTGTTAAAGCTTTGACATGAAAACGTGGCATTAAAGCAATACATAAACAGAATATATGACAACCTTGGATTTAAGGGATGGATACTGGCAAGTCATGGCCTTGGGAGCAAAACATTGGAAATGAGATACTTACTGTAGAAAACTATCCACTAATTTCATCAGAATATCAGTTCTAGGTTGATCTATGTTCATCTTATTCACTAAACTTGGAAATTTAACTGCAAATACATGGTTGACATAAAAGAAAAACTATTTTGATCTTAAAAAATGTTCCATATCATAAAGAATGAGTTGAATTTCTTTTCATTCAGATGAGATTTATAACTGATGCAATAATTCTTGATGTCATTTTATAATCATTTGAATCCTTTTTTATATCTATTCCTTAAATTTTTACTTACCAAATAATCTTAATAAATGATGAATACCATAGATTTGAGATGGTTGTATTTGAGATTCACTTTGGACACCAGATGGTAATAGTTTCCATGACAACAAACTGTCAATCATCTCTGACCGATGATCATCATGAGGATGAAAACCATTACCATTACTAGATGTAGGAGGAGCATTGAAAATGTTTTGATTGCAAGATTGCACATTTAAATTGAAACTTATTTCATTATCACTACCAGGTTCAGTTTTGATTTCTACTGTAGGTGGTGAACTAACTGTTCTTTTTGATCTTGCACCAGTCTTACGACCCCTTGGATGACTCTTTGGAGTCTCTTCATGAATAGATCTTCGAGTTATTCTTCTAATAGAGAGATCATCTGATGAATCACTATCAGAATCATGTTGAGATGATCGTGTTGGAGATTGTATTTTAGATTTTTTCCTTTCAGGTTCATAACTTTGACTGAAAATAGAAAGCAGATTAACACAAATGAAAAATGCACTTAAACATAACCCACAAGTTGCAGTCATTAAAAAGAACAATAACAAGATGTGTCAACTGCTGTCAATGCTTCAGATATAGACACTAAATTTAACATACACTAATACTGGAAAAAAATAAAAACCCGCTTTCACAAACCAATCAAGATCTTGCAGGATGGTAAAACCATTAAAGGAGTCATTTGTGAACTTCTCCCTTTACCACTACTATCAAAATTACAAATAACTAGTTACCTTTCCTGATGAAGAATTTGTGGTGTAATTGTTTTACATATTCTCTTATATTGATCTTTTTCATCATTATATAACAGTAATATTGGTAAAGTGAAGTCGAAACATATTCTAATACCATCTACCATTTCTTTACATAATGGAATCCTATTATTACAAAAAAGGCATTGTCAGTACTCAGTAACTTCATAATGACCAACTACCAAAATCTAAAATATCTATGATATTATGAAGAAATCTAAAATCACAAAAGCAGTGAGCATACTTTATTATTACTCTAATGTCAAAAGAAAGTCTGATATTAAAGTCAAATTTTGATTATGAAAATATGTAATTATTCATATGCATCAGCTGGAAAAAACGAATAAGGACGCAGGCTGAAAATAGATCAGTTGTGTGAGTCTGACTCTGAGTAACATCATAATTCAACTTTGTTTTAATATTTCTAATTAACATATTGTATAAATGCATATGAACATGCATAACTTACCATCTACCAGGAGCATGGTTCCAACTATCAGAGCTGTTACTCCTTGATTTCTCTCTTTCACCAGGATCTGACAGCAAATTAAAACAGTAATTCTTCACAAAACTCTCTAATATATCAATAACATTCGGCTGAACTGGTAATTTTAGTAACTGAAATAGAGATTCAAATAAAAAATATTTATTCTATAGACAAAGTTTATCAGGTGTTATATACATAGTATCTATGTTTGTGCCCCTGGTTCATTTTGGTATAATAGACCTCATACTGACTATGAAAAATGAACAGTTTACTATTGTGCGTATTATCATAAGTGGCATGCATACATTATTTTATACCCTAGTTTTGTTTTTGTTAAGGATGTTTCAAAGCCTAAAAATAAATCTTAATACATACCTTATCTTTATAATGTATTAAATAATAGTCATCTTCTAATCTTTGTTTAATACGATCAGGTAAAATAACTTCTACTGGATCATGTGTCGGCTACAATGGAAATATAACTACATTTAAATCTGTTCTTACACTTGGTAACTTTGCAGTCTACAGTCTGTTACCTTGAAATAAGTGCAGTCTACAGTCTGTTACTTCGAAATATGTGCAGTCCACAGTCTGTAAATTTGAAAATATGTGCAGTATATATGTCAAAAGTGACATGAAAGTCAAAAAAACTAAAATTTTATAACGTGACTAATACTAACAGTTCATTAACCCAATACACGAGTCCTTTATCAATAATAAAAGAAGCAACTTCTTAAATACATGTATTTCTAATCAGAATGAACTGAATGAAAACCAACTCATTTCAATTTCCTTTCTTAGTTTTCTGAAGAGTCAAGCCATGTGTCTGAGTATAATGAAAGGTACATGCAATGTTCTACCTGTTTAGGTGGTTGTGGATAATCAGGAACTGAATCAGGACTCTGTAATATAAAAATTGAATTTCATAGTACCTTGTCTATTCAAACCTCTTAATATAACAACTTTCTGAATTTCAGTAAAAGTGGCTATCATATAAATATAAGTCAATGATATAAGATAGCCAAAAAGGATAAATAACCAACCTCTTTTAAATCATTATCAGAATTTTCAGATGATACATCATCATCATAATGTCCATCATCTAATTTACTAGAATTATCATCATCATGACCATTATCATCAGACAACTCTTCATTATCAAATTTCTTTAAAATCTCATCAATTTTACGAGTTCTGTTTCCCTTCGATTGACTGAAATATGAAAGATGAAATGATATCATATTTTTCTTAGTCTATGTTTTTTTTCCAGTGAGATAGGTAATAAATCAAAAAGATTTAATAGGAATGTAAATGACTTTTTGGTCCATTACAATACTTACTTTTTCTTTGCAGTTTCTGCCAATTTCTTCATCAGTAAACGATTTTCATCAGTACTCTTCAGAATGAATTCTTCACTTACAATTCTATCCCAGCTGAAAGGAAAAAGTTGATAACTCAGGGTCAAGGGCTTTACTGCTTCACTTAAACTTGGTATAGACAGGAAAATCATTTAAATTGTGCATAATGTTTACATCGATGTCAAATGATGAATTATTGGCTAATCTTGGAATTGGAAAACGCTATAATATATCTCTGATAATATGCAAATGTGCTAAATCAAAGTGAGCACAACTGCAATTATCATATTCGATTCATCTAGGCTACCTATCGGAGAATGGTTCTGCTTACCTGCTATTCCAGCCCTGAAAGTGAATGTGATAACCAGGAATCTTTTTACCATCTTTATCTTTCAAACTCTGTAAATCCAGAACCTGCAAGGATAATGTCACACTTTCATTAAAAAAAAATTGATAGATTTCAAGCAAAAGAAGCTGGTAAAGTTTGTAGTAAAATCAATCAGTCCTTTAAACATGTTATGTATTCCTGGTGGTGTATTCTCGAAACGATCTGAGCGGTAGGATGTCCTAAGTTCTTATCTTCTAACATTGATCCTCGGACATCCTAGTGCTAAGATCATTTCGAGAATACATGGCCTGGCTTTTGTTCAACGACACAAGAGTGTGAAATGTAGGACTACTATAATATAGTCAAATAGGTCTCAGGGACTTCAGTAAGGATGCTTATGCATTATTTTACAGTATAGTAGGCTATTTATTATAAAACTGATGTAAATTATAGTCATGGACTTAGTCTAATGCATTCATCAATAATGTCAAAGCCAGTTGCAGTAGAATTCCTTCATTTTATGACAATAATGCCAATGGTCCTGAATAATTTCTAATACTCTATAGGCCTATACTATAGGCTAATATAGTTATAGGAATAGTTTGATATGACAGTCAGATACCTTAGCATCATAAAGAACTTTTGCTTTTGTTGGATCAGGCTCAAAACATAATACAAGCTCCCCCACGATGAATGTATATTTTAGACCACGGGTTGACATTTGGTCGTGTGCCTTTCAGATCATTGAAAATCGCAAATATTCGACGGATCAAAATGTAAACAAAAGAAGGTACGCGCTCTAATTTCTAATTTCCATTCTATTGCTTTGTGGTTGTCGTAATATATTTGACGTTTGTCTTGGTTATCAAGTTCTCAATGAAACATGAACCCAATCATGTCTGGACAATCAAACCATGCAACCAAACTATATGATCGATTGAATATTATCAGAATTATGCTGGGTTAGGTTGTTCTTTCAAACGATTCGATAGATACAAGAAATAAGAAACGATTTTCTCAGTTTCATAAAGAAGGAAAGAAATTGAAGTTGTAGATACGACAACCAAATATGAAATTCAGTAACTAGTAAGTACAAACCAACATTCCCCCCTATTCCATAATTATCTAAAAATAAAACCCTTCATAGTGCCCAACCTGCTTCCTCTCACCTGACCTTATTAGGAATTTTATAGACTTCGGTTATTTGACATTGATGGTCAAGTTACTGTCATTTTTTAACCACGACTCTACTTCCTCTGCATTTTGACTACCGTGCTACTTGTTTTGTCCAATTCTGGGGTCATCATCCTAGGTTCAAATAGGCTAGAGGAACAATGTTAATCTTGACTTTTATATTTTACTTATGTAAAAACGAAAGTATTTTTTTTTAAATTTTCAGGATCAGAAATCTGAAGGAAACAATAGAGTTAGCAAGAGTTCTCATTCCAAAATTCGCCTTAGCTGTATAGGCTATAGTTTGTAATTTGTAAAACACACCCACCATATAACTGCACACAAATCACAGACCACGTGACTCAATGGCTCTATTTTTAAAATGGCGAATGTCAGAATCTTTTGAACTCTGACACATTGAACTTATAAGTAAAGTATTGAAGTTACTTTTGATTATCAGTGTGAGAGAACCCTTGGTAATTTCTTTGTATCGGTTAGTCTACTGTCAACTTTACAGAGCACCTATTTTCATAGTTCGATTAAAGCCTGAACCAGCTTTGCATGTATTATTGTTTGTTTACATTTTTTACCTTCTGAACTTGCCTAGACCTGCTTACTATATAACGTTCATACTTTAAGATGGTACTTATAGACATATGATTTAGGCTAAGATCATGAGTACGTTTTATCAATAGATTACACACAGATTGATCCAGATAACAGCAAACACGTCCATACCAAATGAGCAAGTCTAATTTTATTGGGTTGTCCATTGGCATTGGCATTGCAAGGATGTGTTCTGCAATTTCAAAGTAACTTAAATGAAGAAAAAAATCAGATTAGTGTAAAACAATTGAATTGAATTTTTTTCTCTCTCTTCAGTAAACTGGCTTTAAAATTAGAAAAATGGATCTTAGTAATTTGAGTGAAGACTCTGATATAGGTAAGTAGGCTACCAGTACCTGGGTAAAATATATATAAAAGGAATTATCTGTGTGATGAAATTTATACTTGAGAATGTATATTATCTTGAACCATTTGAAATCCTATAGGAAGCCCTGATTCTGTCCCCATTGCTTAGGTGCACAATAGTAGGACGTAAAACTCCATTAATTTAATTTCATTGTGTCCCCATTGCAACGATCAGTGAAAAAGACATTTAAAGAATTCAAACCCTGAACATACTAAAAATTTCCAAATTTTTCCAGACCGGTACTAATTTTTTTCTCTCTCACAGATGCAATATTGACCCCAATAGAATCTCCACAACATGTCAGTCATGGCCAGTTTATAGAATCTGACAGTGTCTCCGAGTTATTCTTCTTAGACAAACCCAAGCCAAAATTGACAAAACAAAAAATTAAATCTGCAGCAGCCAAACAGAAAGCTCCATCAGCCCGACCTAAAAAACCTAACATATCATCTCGATACCAGAAATACACATCAGAATCAGATCAAGGTTAGTAAGCTCATAAAGTATTTAAAGAATAAGTTTTGACATTTCTCTAATTAATTCTGCACAAGCAATTAAAGAGTGAGTATGCACCAATTTACTTGGTATATTTAACACTATCCATATGAAGCTTATAGTCTCAAAGCAGATTAGTAAAGGAAGTCTGTTAACGACTGTATTAATAGAGACTATCTATCTATTGTACTGTAGATCTTCCTGTTAATGGTAGTGAAATGAAAGAAATCTATAAAGAATTACAAGCTATTAGTGATAAATTAAAGGTTTGTAATTTCAAAATGCCTATCCAAATATTGTGGATTGATTATGACACAGTTTAGATTTATGTAATGCATACAGTATTTACAAGATGTAGATTTTCATTTCATTAACTGTCTCTATTGGATAATCTATTTTAATGGTAGAATCAAGATTTGTTTATTGTTTTAAAATCTTGATGAAATATTCTGAATTTATCTGAATCCTTAGTGTGTTAATTTCTATGTCTGTTGTATATTGTTGTAGAGGGAGAATCAGATATTACATGAAAGAGAAGAGAAACTCAAAGAAAGAGAAAGACTGGTAGCTATTTCTCAAACAAACATACAAACAATATCAGATCATCAAGTCAGACAGAGATTACAAATAATACAAAAGGTATAAATAAGTTTTATGGAGTTCTGTTGACTTGACTGGTTTTTTTTTGTTGCTCATTTTCCCAATATTAGACCTGGACTTAAGTCACCACTTCCATTGTCGCTTATTTAGTCTTTTATGTGGTGATATGAAAAAAATTTTAAACAGTCAATTAAGAATTATAGATGTAAACTAATATCATTGATGTTTGTTGTGTGTTTTGCAGACACCAACATGTATTTGCACCATTCTGATTTCCCTTGGTTGCAGTTCCTGTAATTTCTTAAGATATATTTGGCTCAATCAATGAAAAGATGGGCAGCTGCTTCAACTAATTATATTGTCTTAGCTCTTTTTAAATAAGTTTCAACTGGATCATTTTGAATGAGTTTAAATGTTATGCTTAATTTCTACTCCTAAGGAACATAAGGAAGAAATAGAGCAGCTAGAATTAACAATAAAAGAGAGATCGAAGGAAAATAAGAGATTAAAAGATAGTTTTGAAACTTTAAAACAAGCTAATGATGCTTTAAGAAAAGAGGTAAGACTCGATATTCTTGCTGTCTCCTATTCATATATCTCATACACGAAATCAAATGGACAATGCTGTCAACACTTTGAAGATATAACTTTAATCATGAAACCTGTCAAGAAAGCAAACTCCATTAACATTAGTCTGAAAGTCAACTGGGAGATTCAGTATGAAGATTGTCACTCATCTCATACTGCTGATAAGTGTCTGGATGATGCCACAGACTATGATTCACCTTACCTTACACCAGATATCAATGTGTATTAGGTAGATATATATCTTCATTATTTGTATAGTAGATGTTATTTTATTTTTAGATGGATATTTTACAACAAGGATATGATAAACTAGAGAAACAAGCAATCACTAGTCAATCTAGACTGATTAATTTACAAGTATGTTAAACCTTTCTCATTAAACAATCATTAGTTATATTAAAATGAAAAATGTACTTTTCTGTCTTTTCTAAAATATTTTATGAGCTACCTTGATGAATTGACACAGAAACATTTCCAAATTCGGTAAGTGGGTCTTTTAGGGAGCTGCAATGACCCTGGAATTTAGATGCTAGGTGGCTGATATCCAGTGTTAGATCTCAAAATAGGTCTGGGAGTGATAGCCTGCGAAGGAAAAGGTGTGTTATTGTCTGGTTTTCAGGAAAGTGGTTCTTGCAAAAAAAAATTTAATTGCACACTGGATTTTTATGCTTGTCTTTACCAATAGAAAGAAGGTAGAATAATTAAATATTTTCAATCTTTTAATTATGTTGTCCCATTCCTCATTTCAGAGAAAACATGAATTTGATCAACGTCAATCCAAAGATAAAATTATTCCAGTTCTGGATTCATCAGTGGCTAAATCAATGAAAGCTAAAGAGAGTGAAGAAAGTAGTAGAAAGTCCTGTAAACCGAGTAAATCAACCACCTCTAGTCCAGTGTTAGAAACTATGTCAGTATTACTAGATTGGGTATCAGATGCACACCTTCATCAAACACTCACAGAACAACCAACACAACCATCAGAAAAACTCTCTCAACCTGATTATCTTCAGGAAAAAATTACTAGGGTAGGTGTAGGATCTTTTTTCTCAATTCTAGTACAGTGTGAAATTGCCTATGGCAGATTATTCAGTTTGGCACTTTGCCCAATGTATCCATATCAACGTAACTGCAGTAATTACAACTATATTGAGAGGAGAATCGGTTCACCTAGTCAATATAATACCCTATATATATACCATTAAGCCTAAACATGTTTAAGATATTATGTATTTATTTTGTAGGTTTTACCATCACTAGTAGATTTATTAAAGGAAAACAACCTAGTTAATCTACGTGTATCTTTACCTTGTTTACAGTTTATATACTGGTCATTAGTTCATATTGAAAAATCACAAACTACCACAGTAAGATTTTTTTATTCTCTCTACTATAATTACGTTTCATATCTTTCATTAAATAACAGATCATAACTGCAGAAAGGACCCTAAACAATATATTATATGATAATTTTGACATCCCATTGCATTGTCTTTTTATTAAATAGCATTTCAATATATTTTGAGGTAGAACCCATTAAAGGCCAGTTTAAAATGCATGTACTATGACAATCCATTCATTAAGGTATGGTCCTGGCAGAAAACTATATTCTTTAATTTCAGAAAACCAACATGGTGTCTACATTACGAAGATTAGGAGAAGAGATATATCGACCTCGTGCTCCACATCGTACAGCCGACAGTCCAGATAACTCTTTACACGACTATCGTTATGACAGACGTCAAGACGGACTGTTCTTTCACAGCTGTAATTCACATCTACGTTTTCTTTCATCATTAATCATACTGAAAACATTGTCTCAAGGTAAGTAGATATGTCTTTAACTTTCTGTTAATATCTTTCTTCACCTGTATCTCTGCATCGAGGAACAGCTTGTAGAAAGGATCCTCTTGGACATATTAGGTCTTAACCTTCCTTTTTGGAAAAGTTGTATGGGGATCAGAGGAAAACTTAAGACTGTTGTTTGAATGTTGTATTAAAAACACAATATTTCTTCCAGTTAGAATTGAATGGTGCTTTCTGTTTTCAGCTGATGTATTAGCAATAGTATTTGATACAGTGAAGATAGATTTAAAGTCAGATATGGTTAAAGAATTATTTTTATATTATCAAGCTACTCCAGTTATCTCTTCTTATCTTAAACCTGTTAATAAGGTCTGTAAACTATTTATACATTATACTCACAGAGAAGCCTGTACAATACAAATTGAAACCTCAGTTTACAGGTTTGAGTCTTAAGTGGATGTGCTCTTGGTTAAAACTCAAGGATAGAGTCTGTTAATATTACTTGGCTAGACTTGGTTATAGATCCCAATCTGCTTTATTTGAAGAAGAATTCACATCCACAAAAAAAGTTTTGTATAATATCTAGAAGTCTATGGATGTATGGATGTTCAACATTTGGTTCATAAATAAAATCAATTTCAAATTATACATTGCTTTATTTTGATTGTTTCTTTCAGGTGTTTCTTGGTCAAGCAATAGATATATTTATACAGATGTCAACAGATTCACCATTTGCATCTTCATTTCTAGAGAGTTGTGGTAATGAGTCATGGTTTCGTACTATGGCTATGGTATTAAGAACACCAATACAAGATAATCGTATCATGGACTGTATCAGTATTCTACTACAAAAACTCTCTAAAATCAAGTAAGTGTAATATTTTTAAGGCTATTAAAACTAGATGAGCTCTAGTGAGAAATAAGTGGTTAGCTTATAATCCACAGATAATGAGATGAGACACAACAAAAATTAGCCATGTAAATGTTTTTCTCTGTATTTGGTGAATCTTTTTTTTTTATATATATAACTTCATGAAATTGAAGCTAGTTTTCTTCCTTTAGTTTTAATTTAAAAATATTATTGTTTTACAGATCAAATAAAAAGTATTTTGAAGTATATACTATAACTAGTATTCTACAAGAGATATTAAGAAGTTGTGGAAATGAAAATGCCTTCCTGGCTCTGAATCTAAAATCTATATTATTTAATTTAAACTCTTCATCAAAGTGATTTTAAGTCCCTGATGTTGAAATTTTTGTGCCCTGAAACAAGGGGACAGAACTTTTAAGATGTCTGATTCCAATGTCTATTGTCCCTTTCATCAATTTCAGAACCTCTTTCTGTCTCATTTGATGTCAGCAGCAATTCTGATATGATAAGATTTCTTTTGTTTTTTAACGGAAGCTAAAGTATTGACATATTCTGCTATCTACTAGGGCTGCTCTTAGGAGTTGAATCCAAATCCAAAGCTATTTTTGGATTCTAACTCCATTCAAATGAGCGCCTGGATATTTTCTCTTTTGAAATTGAATAGAACAGATAAAGAATGTATAAGCAATGGAAATTTCATTGTGTTGTCAAGCTACTTTTCTTTTCCGTGCTAGTGCCTTGCTCTTGTAAAACCACTCTGACATGTGAATGATTTTTGAATTGACTATACTAGAGAAATTTAATGATTTGTGTGGTTTGTGGATTATAACCAGCATTATATTTTACCTGTGATAACTTTAAAGTTCATGTTTTTGTATCAGAGTTATATGTATTAAAATATGAATATCCTCAATATTCAGTGTTCTTAATTTTTGTATCTTGATGAAAATGATAGCCGAATTTCAAATATCAAATCAAATATTAACAGCTCCCTTTTCAAATTATGTTAAACATGTGATTGCGCTCGAGAAACGAAAGAACAATAAAGGAATTCTGTAAATGAGATTAGCATTGACCGGTACGTTTTTGTAATGTTAATTATTTTGGGTACGTTTTTGTTGCATGACCGGAAGTGGATATTCAACATGGCGGAGAAAACAAACTTTGTAAATACCGAAAAGATAAGAACGCTAATAGAATCTTCATTGAAAAGTGCAAACACTTGTACTCTTGATAGAAATTATGGGAGGGCTTTTGCCCATTATCTTTTAGTGTTGAAATTGAATGACACGCTCAAGCAGTCACTTAAAACTGACTTCACCTATGTAATGAGAGAATGGACAGAAGAACTGGAAAGACAAGACAGAATAGAAGATCTATTCAAATGTTATGAACAAGCCTGTGAAGTTTTTCCAGAATGTGAAACTGCCCTTAATAATATAGGAGCTCAGTTATTTAGGTTAGTTAAGTTGCCCTTGCTCTATATCCTATAAGAAAAAATAAATATCTAATTATTCCCTTGTAACTGCAAAGGTCCCTGTCGAAATACTGTAGTGTCACGGATGATATTTCGGCTCCATATGACTACCAGTGATCTAAAGAGGCTCCAAAAACTGAGGCATGCTCAACAATTTGCCCATTCATAATACAGTAATCTTACTGATAAATGTTCTACATATTTCTATTATTACTTATCCATTTGGTAAATGGTAAAGTTATCTTTTGTAGACTAGGTTATATTGATGAAGGAGCTTTATATATCAGAAAAGCACTTCGTATAGCTCCTGAATATGTTGCTGCACGTCAGAATTTAGAAAATATTTGCAGTTTTTTGGTGGACAGATGGCACTTTCGTATGCTGAATGATACCATCCGAAATGAAGCCTACAGAAGGGTTATTAAAGATGTTGTGTCTGAGGGAAATAGTTCTATACTAGATATTGGTGCTGGAACTGGATTGCTGAGGTTTGACAATATTTACTCAGTTTCAAATTGGTATTTTAAGCTACTGAGAGATTCCAGAATTTTTACAAAGAATCTACTCATCCATATATTATTAGATAAAATGACGAAAGTTGACTTCAAAAGTCAAATTATATATTTCTTAAAAAGTTATATATTTAATGCAATCAATGGTTCTATTTTTTTTAGTATATACTGTGTAGAAGCAGGCTATAAGAATATTTATGCATGTGAGAGATCTAAAACCATGCATGATGTTGCTCAAGATGTATTGAAGTTTAATGGTGTTGATCAATATATAAAACTGTTGTGTAAGAATTCAACTGATCTCAAGATTCCATCAGATATTCCTGAAAAGTGAGTTAAATTATAACCAAATACTCCTATTACTTATGCCAAAATTTCATAATAGCTTCAGCATGTCCTACCATTTCTAATCTTTGTGGTTCGGCAGATGTCTCTGTCATTCAGAGTACAGTATATTTAGCAATGGCCCATTTGTCCATATCATGTTATTGATTCGTAATACCATAAATAAGGGTACTTACTTATATTGATAATTTGTCTTTTTTAGAGTGGATGTTATAGTAACAGAAACATTTGATGCAGGTTTATTTGGAGAACATATTTTATCTACTCTAGACCATGCCATAAAACAACTTGTAACATCCAACAAGGTGGGTACACTACTTATACTTGTTGTGATGTTAATATTAACCATACAGGAAGCAGGGTGATTATTAAATAATGATAAATGACCTGTGTTATACAATATTGGAACAGAATGCTGTTTACATAATGAGGAATAAAGAACAATATAAAAAAATCATGCTATCATGTACAGTTATGTGATATATCTGATTATTTTCAGAAGCCATGTGTTATACCAGCCAGTGCCTCAGTATATATTTGTGCTATTGAATCAGAAGCTATCTTGAACAAAAATAGGTAAGTTTACATGACAATAAAGTACAAAAATAACAATATTGCTGCATAAATTATTAACCAATTGCTGTTTACACAGTACTTATGATTTCTGAGTGGGTCTTTCCATGATATTTCAATGTGAGAGTGTCTTGATTTGGATCTGTTCAAGTCCTAATTCCAATTGTAAAAGATTTTTGGTATCCCTCCCTAGGTTCCTTTATCCAGTTGTTCAGAATGTTGATCTACATGGGATTTCTATAAACTGTAAAACAACTATGGTAGATGATGAACCCTATACAACAGAAGATCTTTCCAGTATTCGAGGAGGTTACATTGAGTTATCTGCCCCTGTGTGTCTGCTGTCCGTTGAGTTTTGTAATTCATCGCAAATAGAGAAACTTTTGAATGGTATCAGCTTGAGAAAATCTTTGAAAGTTACAAAAACTGGACGTCTTGATGCTATAGTTTTATGGTTTGATCTTCACCTTGGTAAGGATGTTACCATAACAACCAAACCTGATACTGCTAATTGCTGGGAACAAGCTTTATATCCTGTCTTACCAGGACATTTTTCTTCCAAAGGTAAGCATTCATAAAGATATTGTGAAGAATTTTTTCTCTTTAATTTTAATCCAATATCAACTTCGTATTTAATTGATGATAATAGCAAAATTGTGGTATGGAATATTTTGTAATATATATGAGCTATGATGGCATGCATTGCTTCAAGATGCCTGGTGAAATAAATGAAGTTTGATTTATTTGGAAGCAAAATGAATGTTTCAAAAGCTGTATTCAAATTTCAATAACTGCATTGTTGCATTTTTTCAGACAACATTCATCTAGATGTACAGGAAGGTGGAGAAATAGTTTTAGATTGTCAGTTACAAAATAGTCAACTCAAAATAAAATGTTGTGAAATAGATAAAGATTTTATATCCAAAAAAGACTGTGAGAGTACAGATTCCTATTTATTTGAACATTCAGAAATTCAAATGTTAAATGACATTAGTTCAAACAGAATCTTTTTTCAAGCATTAGAAAGATTACGATTGGCTAGAAACCTTAAAAATCTGTCTTTACTGGACATTTGTCAAGGGTTGTCTCCTCTTGGTCTGCAATCGGCTATATTGGGATATTCAGATGTGTGTGTGTGTTGTGAAGAAGATAAGAAAGAATGTTTAAGAAGATTATGTGAAGTAAATGATATGAAAGATAAAGTTATGATAATGAATCAAGAAGAATTACGATGTAGTGAAGAAGGATATGATGTTATAACGTGTGATTTGGTCGAATCATGTGGGGTGTTTAAACAACAAATACTAGAGGAGATAGCATTATTAAGGTGAACATTATGTTTATGTGCTTATCTGGGCATCAAAATTCTTCTTACCTTGAGGAAGATTCCAATCCATGACACCTAACAAACTATCCATCTCACAACCGAATGGGCTATTCTTAGATTGAGAATTTGCCTTTAATGTTTGAGTAACAGCAGACAAACCTCAGTTGTAGGATCTATAGTTATCGCATAACCACATCACATGTTTACTAGGCAGGACATTCTGAAATATTCGAGTAACTAGCACAAATTTGAATAGTTTCATGTATTGGGCAAGAGTCACTCAATCCAAATTTGACTCAGCCTTTTTCCAGAGCTTCATAAGTAAAATATATTTTTACATAAGGGTTCATATACTCTTACTTTTTACAGAGTAACATCTTTAAGAGAACATGGTATAATATTACCAGAAAGAGTTAAAATCTATGGTATTTGTATAGAGTCTAGTGATTTAGTAAAAGTCAGTCGAGTTATCAGTGATCAACAAACATCAGGCTATCATATAGCACAGTTTATTAATGATTTTCAGGTAGGTATATCAGTATTTATATTGGTCACAATACTCACCACTGTCTTGAGCATAAATTATTCTCTATAATGTGCATCATACTGTCATTAAATTGATGAGAATACCTTTGTTTGAAATTTATTGCTTGTAAGATTTTACATATGAGTTTGGAGAACAAAATTTATGGGTTTGAAATAAATTTATTTCTGTTGTTATTTTGGTGAAACAGTTTATAATGTCTAATATTATAACATTTTTTTATACTCAAACTGTAAGCACAACCATGGTATGAGGCTAAAGAGTCACAATAAATAACATAAAATCTTATGTAGTTCTGGTTTTTTTTTTCAGAGTACCTCACATGTGGAGATTGATCTTCATACACTAAAACATACTAAATTATCATCAGCTTTCTTATTATTTGACTTTTCTTTAAACCTTGATCAAGAAACAAATCAACCGGCATCATTCTTAGAACAGACTAGCTCTGTCAGTGTAAATATCATAGAATCAGGAACATTTACAGCTATAGTATACTGGTTTGAATTTGTGGTACTGGATGAACTTAAGATATCTAGTCTAGATTATACCAGTCACTGGAAACAAGCAGCTATAATGGCGAAATCTGAGGTCAATGTGAATGAAGGTGAAAATCTAAATCTGATATTTAATTTAGAAAATAGTTGTGTTGAATTAAAATCTATTAAAAAATCCTGAACTATATTTGTCTCATTTTTTTTCACAAAGAAACTCAGTGTGCAAGACAATTTTGCATATAAGAATAACAAATCTCTTGAATTTACTTTGCAGTCTCATTGCACAGAATGAAGTTTAGCTTTGCTGTCTATTTCTTGACATAGTTAATTTAAAAGTAGAGGGTAAAAATATGAATAATATTCATTGCATCCATCTGCACAAAGTAAAAACTTATACTTTTATCAATTGTGTTTTTGAGCAAATAAATATACTATGTCCAGTTCAACTATAGTGGAATAAACTAATTATGGTATAAAACAATCTATTTATGTCATTATTGGAATGATGGCGAACACAATTCACAATCTCATATTAAAGGTCAAGCTATATAGACTTTCAACTGCTCACAGTTACCAACAGTAACTTCTTAGCCACTATTTTACTGTTAAATCTTAAACGGCTACTTCTCTAAAAATTAATGCTAAATCACTAATAATTCTTGTCAATTTGTTAAATAATACCTTGATTGAAACTCAATGTAAGCAAAATAATTATCATGACTTACATCTATTTTAATATACAAATACTGAACATGATTTTTTCAGAGCTAAAAATGAACTAATTTGAATTTCCTTTTCTGAAATTCTCATGATTTTAATAATAAATGACTATCTGATGTACTGATTACTACAGTATCAGTTGATGATTTATCATTAATAGATATTTTGGAATATTTAAATCCAGTCTAATCAAACTTTCATTCTGTTTTTTTTTTTTTATTAGCTTATATTTTTAATATAGCCACTTCAGTTAGGGTCTAACAACAGCCTCTTGTACATTCTTTAAATTAACCTTTTAGACCCTCACTGAAGTGGCTATATTAAAAATAAAAGATAATAAAGAAAAATGGAACAAAATTTTGGTCTAATTTTAATTAAACTGATCTAAATCAATCTAATGGTTTTTAAAATCTTAAGTACATGTGTTCTCATTATACTTTGACAGTATCTGATTTATCATGGTTATTAATATCACTAGATTCACTGTCTTGATCACTATCACTGTCACTTGATCCTGATTTATTATCTGATTGCATTTGACTTGATTCAACTGGGTTTTGATCAGATTCAGTTGCTCCTTCAGTATTTTCACTAGATTTATCTGTGACCACATTTACACTTTCAGAATTATTATAGTCAACTAACTTCTCCTTAATTGGAGTATCACATTTTGCATTTAAAGATTGTTGTTCATAATCTTTGATATGGCCAGAATCTATACTTGAACCAAAATCAACAAAATTATTTAAACTGGCTGTCCCTCTTTGTTGATTTACAAAGTTATCACGTTGGTCTATAGAGGATCCATCCCAATCAGTTTGTGTCTCTGATTTCATTGACGCCATAAAATCATCATGAACTACAACAGGAGGTGTATTTGGCCGGTCTCTATTCCCTTGACATTGTTCCATAACCTGTTGAGCTGACCTTTCTGGAGGTTGAGTATCACTTAATAGAGGTTTACTTTCATCAACTGGGGAACCAAATTTCTTTCTCAATCTTTTCTGAACCCCATTTCCTGCATAATATATTAAAATATATTATGTCACTAGTATGACTCGTTATATACCAACACACAACAAAATATTCATACAAGAGACAGTTTTTGAAATATTAATATATGACACTGAATCTATAGACAACTGATCTTTTTTCTTGATTGTTTTTTATACATTTAGTATTGAATTATCTTACATTATCTTTGAATTGAAAAATGAAAATCTTAATAACTTACCTATAAATCTAGCGTGCTCTAGTACATCATTATGTACATCAGAAACATCCCACATTGATAGAAATGATGAGCAACAATTAGATCTATCAGCAGCCATATCCATGTATGGTTTATGGGAGAAAGAGAAATAGTGAGCTATAGCAGCAAAAAACATCTCAATACATATACAGAAATCCTGAAATAAGAGGTAATATACATTTACTTTGAGAGCCATGCTTGCTTTGACACTGTTCCACTTAATGTTTCAAGTTTCTTTCACAGATGTCTGTAATGACCTGTATTTTAAACTTAATGGTGGCTTTTATTCAGCATTAAACTTTCAGTGTCACCAATTTACAGGTGGGATGTTCATGCAAGTACTTGGTTTGGATAATAAAAAATATTCTGTCTCCAGTCAAGAATAAACATGGAACCATTAGACAAGGAGATAGAAATGCAAATTAAATAAACACACTTACCTGCAATCCAGTTGCCACTTCCTTTACAGAATGATAAAATAACCAGGGGCCATTTTTTGGAATTGCACCAAGTTTAGCTAATGCAGCAATTACTACAGCTTGCCTAAGAAAGAAAAGGCCCATTTTCAATGACTAGCAATTCACAACTATTGTTGCAAAAATCTAAACAAAGGTTTAACATTGAGGACAATTTAATTGAAATATGAAGATTTGACTTTAATGTAAATATAGAGAAGTGTCATGGTCCCTTAATTGAGTGATTTTGATCTCACGGGAGTGTAAATACGTAGTTGCTGGTCGCGTAATGAAGGTGGTGGTTTATCAGTCGTTAAAGGTGGGCGCATGAGCAGGAAATACTGTAAATCATAATTTCAAAAGACAAATCCACTTACCAGAATGAGAGAAAGACAACAGCTTTAACACACATAAATTTAGGTACTGGTTTTATTGGTGCTAATTCTTCTTTAGTTAATTTATAAAACAATACTAAACAATACATCGCCCACTGAAATAATTTAAAAGACAGGGTTTGGATATTGGAATTTATTGAATACTTCCAATAAAAAATGGTATTAGAGGTTTGCAAATTGGGCATATTTATGGTGGATATAAATACAGATTACTATTTAGAAGGTCTTTAGGATTGACAGGCAAGTAATAAGTAGGTGAAAATTTCAAGTAAATATTTAAGGTAGTTACTAGACTTAAGTTGCTATAGGCTTTTGATGCTTATACCCTTTAACAACACAATATTTGTTGTGAACTTACTATTTGAGATAAGTTATTCACTATGACTAAATATGACCAGGCTGATGTAAAATTAAAATCACCTTCTTCATACACACCACCCCATTCACAAAATCTTAAAAAAACAGGTAAAATGTACTTTATTCATTAAAAAACAAATTAATAATTAGCTTCAATTATATCCAATGAAAATGGTAAAATACATTCAATTACATCTTACTCACAAATTTTAGTGCTTACTCGAATTTGCTATAAATCTGTGTCCAATTTTTTTTCTCATGACAAATTTGAATAAACATAGCTATACAAAAATGTTACCTACAAAGCTATAACAGTAGTAAGAGGTCTGACTATTGTATATTGTAATACTCCATGTTTACATCTCTCAACAAATGGCCTAAAATAAAGAATTTTAGGGTAATAACCTGCTCATTATACACGCACTTATACAGTATATAAATTATTTTAAAAGGCTCAAACAGAATCATTAATAACGGTACAACATTTAGACATGTAACTTTCAGGATTTCATTTAAAAAAAAAAATACTCGAAAATCAAGCTATGATCATTACCATTGGTCTAAGTAAGTAGTTTTATCTTTAGTCAATGTGACGTCTAAATTACTAGATACTAGTAAGGACATAATTATTTTCAAGGATGTTATCTTAGATGTAATATCATCTAAGTATCTATAATTGGTTACAGTCTAAGTATAAATATCCTTACAACAATATTGAAATCTTACCTTCCCATTGTCCATGGTGGTAAAAGACAAAAGGGGAAGAAATGTTTGACTTGAGCTTTATTTTCCAAATCATACTCTAAATATGGATGTTCAGTTCTCAGATAGTTTAATAAATAGCTCATAAAGTTGTAAATAACGTAAGCTTCATAGCATTCTCTGATGGTATCTAGATATATAGCTGCTACTGGAAACAATAGAGCCAACCACTGAAATATATTATACAAATTACTACTGATTGGGATACTCTCATAAGTAAATGTAAAATCCTTTTTTTATTTAAAATGTTTAGATATAAATCATTAGCATCATATGATCTAAGGATTTAATTATGAACTAAAATCATCAAGGCCTACATCACAAGATTGAATATGAAGTTGGTCTTCACAAAGAATTATGATAAAAAATATTTGCTTACTGCATTGAGAGCATAAACTGGAACCATCCACAATACCCTGTTGAAAAAAAAAGTTTAAGAATACTCACAAAGTTCTTTAAGTTAACATTAATTTGTAGTGTAGTAATTTTATAGGCATAATCTCACAGCAATGACAACATGCAACATTAATTTACCTTACTACCAGGATGAAAATGAATCACATATTGCAGATATATGCAAGCATTTAAAGAGACACAATCTATGAGTTTACAAATGCGAAACAAAACAATTACTATTTATTTGGGTAGTTTTGCAAACAGTCTGCTAGTGCCAATAAAATTCCCTGTCTCTAATTTTCTGTCATAAATAAGGCAAATATATAGTAATAAGTCTAAAGAAGACATGCTTTAATACCTGATGATATTTTTTTGTAAAACTGGTTTGGTAAAATAGACTAGATGTTGTAGAATACCCCATAAGGATATGGGTAAAGATAATAAAGTGAAAACACCAGCTACAAACCACCCCTTCACATGATCTGGTGCATCCTTTTTATACAGTTCAACAATTAACAGGGGTAACACAATACAAATAATTATCACATAGCCGGTGATAATCAGAGGTCGAATCCATTTGCGCCATCGATGTATGCAATTCATGGTTACAATTATAGCTAATTTCCCGTCAGAAATGAACTGACACTAGTGACAGTTCTTTGTTTTCATTCTTAGCAGTCGACATTTTGTTTATCATGTGACCAAACGCATGCGTACATTCTCCAACCACGTTCGAGATTCGACTTCCGCTGAAATTTATCTCCTCATTTCCAGATTATTCTTTGCAGATTTTTGATTAATGATAGGTAACAGTCTTTTACATCTTTTCCCTGAAAGCGCAGGAACGTAGAGTTTGCCAAGAAATTTATCTATTCGGCTTATTCAGACTGGTTGGTTCCGTTGCATCTCCGTCGTTTACTCAGATACTCTTCTGATTTGAAGGTGCAATTAGACTGCATGTAAACAAGGTGCCCCCAACATTCTATTTTTAGCATCATTTTTCAATATCTCATGCCTTTTAGTCATTTGTATGTTTAAACCTTTCAGACATGCCTTAATTATTGATATCAATCGGCAGATAACCCTGTGACTGTAATAAGTGTGTGACTGTCAAGATTATTTGGTTTGATTGTATAGTATTGTCTTATCGATAGAGTGAAGGAGGAAGGTTGTTGTTATGTTACAGTTATACTGATTATTATTGAAAATAAGCTATATGCTTATACCTTTTATAGTAAAATAAATCAACAAAACTAAAGTGACAATAAAAACTGTGGATAATTTTTTTAGAGTAAAAACTAAGCCAAGGGGATCATGAGGATGTCTATAATTATATTGGCTGATTTGGAAGCCAGATAAGATAGCAATAAATACAAATTCAATGTTAACCTTTTTGTACTTGAATAAATATCTTGCTTATCTAGACTGAACTAGTATCAATATAAACTGTTACGTATATCTCACTTGAAATCATATTATTTTACTATAAAACATTATTACTGATATTATTAATATTTGTGATTGGAATGTGACTTGAGAAAATCAATATCCAAAAATTATTTAAGAGGATAGGAAGATGACCTCATTTTAGAAATTGAAGTAGATCACAACATTCAAATCTGCCCTGAAATTACTAATTCTGAAGTAGATATGGATGAAGGTCTTTCTGTCCATTTATGACAGAGAAATATGAAAATGATATGGAATCTTTCAGGATCAAAAAATAACATATGCCTCAGATATAGAATTCAGAGTTTATTATGAGTTTTAACATTTATGTATTTTGTCTGTATTCCAGAACAATGGAGGCTGAATGTTTAGACAGAAACGGACAACCTTCAACAGGGGGTGAAAATGGATCATCAGCTACCAACACCAGACCTCCAAGACCACCACCACCTCAAGTTGCTCTGGAATTCAACAGTTATCAGAATTTACAAAAACTTCATGATAAAGCTTACCACTTCTCAAATCAGGGTATTACAGCTGAGGAAAATGAAAACAATGATGTAGCTTTAACATCTTACAAACATGGAATTCAATTACTGAATCAAGCTTTAACAATAGATTGTGAAAAATTGAAAGATGCTTCTGGTGATAAAATCGATAAAGCAAAATTTCTACAACAGAAAATGACTAAATCAAAAATGCAAATTGAGTACAGGATACAAGAATTAGAAAGAGAAATGCAGCCACAACCTAGTCAGGCCAGTTTAATGGAACAAGATTCACCGCCATCTTATGATGAAGCTATGACTATTGGTGACTCTATCATGAGTTCTGACTCTATATCATCTAATACTGATAGTTTAATATCGAATGCTGAACAATTGTTTATCATATCAGAGGGTGTACAGATATTCTATATTACACCAGAAGGGTTTGTTAGTGCGCCATCCTACCCCTCAACTTTAAGATTATGTAAGTTTTCTGAAGAAGCTGCCGTGGGTGCTACTAATGCTGCTCCACCACCACCGGCATTCTTACAGGTAATATATATGATTTATTCACGAATTCATCTGATTTGATACCATAGTCATATCAATATAAAGTTTAGATAGGTATACAGTTAGTGAAGATGAAAGTATTAAATCGATAATTGGAATATTTATCTCCATTGAATAATTTAAGAGTTCATGTTAGCTTGACCAGCAAAGCTTGAATCAATCTTAAGAGTTGAAATAATAATTTTAAAGTCTGATCCATACAATTATTGTCCATACTAATTTAAATTTCAAATGTTTCAGGTGGGTAATTGGATATATCCGTTGATACCAGATACCTCACCAGCACTACAGACTAGTTTTGGAGCTTATATCTTTCCTGATACTCTTTCACAAGTTCCAGGTAATGTATTCATGGCATTTTTAGTGATAATCACATGTAAAAAGAAATCTAAAAAGTCACCGTGGATGTGATTAATTAATGAATTTTGTATCACTGCACTTTGCCTCAAGATAGTTAATCATTTTTTTTTTCGTTCAATAATATTTAAAAGTTGTAATGAAGTATTATTGTTTTACAGGTGCCACAGTGGGTGTAATGTTTCCTGAAACTGTTACCCCTGAAGAGAGAAGAACATTTGAAGAGATCCTGTCATCTTTGACTGTGATGAAAGAACAACAGAGTGAAATTCAACCAGCAGATCTGACTTTACCTTCTGCTCCTTCTGTATGGGAGGCCCCCCCTGCTGAACAAGTACATCCTGCTGAACCAGTCATCTCACAACCTAGTCATGTACAAGAACCACTAGCCGATACTACAGTACCAACAGAGACTACCAGCGAAGATACCTCCACTAAAATATCAAAAGGCATCATGGTTGGTAAGTGCCAACAATTATTTTGTCAACTGTGGTGTCGTAAACTGTTAATGCAAATTTGACTGTCACTGAAACTACTGAATCCAAAAAACTTTGAATATTTATATTGACATATATCTTCTTGTAATGAATCTTTTTGCAAGATATATTCACCTTAGATATTTTTTTACTCTGATTACAGCTGCAGATTGGATAGCATGGGGTCTAGGTAAAGGAGCAGAGAAAGCTAATGAATTAGTTAAGAGTGGTTCAAAAGTTATACAGAAACATATAAACCCGGCAGAACGTCCTAGTCATATAGATCCGAAGGTACAGAAAAGCTTGACGTATGCTAGAAAGGGTACACATGTTGCAGTGTCTGTGAGTTCATATGTAGGTAAGTAAGTTGTTAAATGTCATTTCTCTTCAGTCCACTCAGTGATTTGTTAATAGAACTGGATAATATTATTTTCAGAGATTTGGTCACTTATTTTTTTTTTTTGATAAATGATTTTAATTCCTTGGACATGAAATGAGATTTAGGTCAAACTGGTAAAATTATTCTGGTTTCAATTACTGATCTTATGCAAACATATATGAAGGGTAAGTACTTGTCAACCTTCAAATTATACTGTATTACATCATATAAAACTCCCACCACCAGCATGTTTAACATTTGCCATAATAATGATATTTGATTTTTATTTCTAACAGTGAGTAAATTAGGAGCAGCAACAGTTATGTTAGGAAAACAACTGGCACCTCATGTCAAAAAACATGGTGAAAAGTTACTACCTAAATCATTAACCAAGGACACTGGTAGTAAATCTAAAGTTAGTGGTGTTTTGGAAGTTACTGTTAGTGGTATCAAAGGTGAGTTATCTTGATAATCTGATTCATTATTTTTTTCAGTTGAATATATATAGTTGCATTGAATATTATCAAAGCAACAGGCTATTTGATGGTGTTTCAATTCCAAATGAATTCAAAATTTTGATTCTGATATTTGCATCAAAAACCTTCACAAATTATATTTATGTCATGGAAACCTTTTCTGTGTTAGTTGCAGCCTGGTTAGCCTATCAGGCTATCATAAAAGGAAGTCCAGAGACTAATTGTTTAATTCTCTATCTCAATATCTCTGAAGAACTTCAAGATGAACTTCAGGAACATTTTAGTAGAGACTTGTATATCTATTGCAGGTTTTAGTACAGTATATTTGGGACTGGAGACAGCAGCTAAATCTCTAGCTAAAAACCTGGCCAATGAAACAGTGGTTGTTGTCAGTCACAGGTAAGAATTTTATAAGAATACAGCCTGATCTTCCAAGATTTGAGACTATATCTGACTGAATATCTATGGAACAACGCTGTTATGATAACAAGAATTGTTGAATTAATGTGCAAAGCTTTTTAGTCATATAAAAGATGGGGTGCTCTTCTATAATGTGAAATTATTGGGAGTGGACACGTGGCTACCACAGTCCTATCATAACACAAGGATATAGAAATTTGATCAACAACTGTGTCCGTAATTTTAATGAGAGGACTTCCCCTTCTCTAAAATTATTTGAAGTTGATGGAAATGTGGATGAGTGTTCTCTCACTTATGGTAAGGTCTGTCATCACACACTGAGCAATGGCTGGTTTCTTGCTCTGTGTTTGCTGGGTGTTTGTTGTCACAAAGTCTGAGATCCCAAAAAATTTTAATTTTAATATTTCTAGATATGGTACAGAAGCAGGAGCAGTTACAGATAACACCCTCTACACATTTGGTAATGTTGCCATGACAGCTTATAATGTTGATAATTTAGGAGTGAAAGCAATGGCTAAGCGTGCTGTAAAAGATACAGGAAAAGCTGTTATTTATAAATATGCTGAGGAATATAAACCAGCTGGAAATTCAGGCAGCAAATCAAATCCTGCTATTTATCCTAATCTACCAGGACAGAAACAGTGATCACTAAGTTTCTATTAATAGAATATATTATTTCCTCTAAAAAGTGCTATTTCAATGACTACTTATTTCTAACCTTATAAAGAAAATTATTTTGATGAAACATAATATTTAAATCTCTAGAATGATCTAAGACGACTATAAGTCATTGGTATAGTTTCAGATGCAATATATACTGTATTATACATGTTCGATATATTAACTCTACATGATCAATTTTCAAACACAAAATTTTAGCTTTAATCCTTAAACATACCATAATATATTGTTTAGATGTGGGTTTCTGTAACAGTCTAGTACAGACTCTAGCTGTCAGTTAAGTTTTATAAACACAGCAACGAGTATTTTGTAATTTTATAAAACCATGTTAAACCGGTAATTGTTTGAGGCATTAGTTTTGAAAAAAAAAAATGGTCACATTAATTTCCCAGGATTATTGTGTAATTTTTAGCATTTGTTTATTATTTCATTATATATTTATTTTTGTTATTATTTATCTTGTTATGTAGCCTAGAAGTACACTTTTATTGCACAAAAAGTTTGTTTTTTTTAACTTAGTTGTAGCTTACCTCGACTCAACTAAGTGGATGGGGCGTTGTGGCTCATTGAAGCTCGGGACACATTTGGCTTTTAAAGCATCTTTCTTGTAACTCGTCTTCTATTCTACCCATTAATCTTCACAACGTCAAGCTATTACGATCTCAATTCTTATTCATTTACTGCATTAGACACCTTTCTTGTACCACAGAAGTTTGTCTATACAACCATTTGATTGGATGCCACCAAATACAACAAAGCATTAAACCAAAATGTATGTGTCAAGGGTGTTGATTGGTTGCATTGCAGGATATTGTAATAGCTTGAATTTGTAAAGATACCAATAGGCCAAGGTATTTTGCACAGACCAATTTTATACATTAATGCAAGCAATCTACCTTTTGCATTGTAGGCAGCGATGCAGGGGTGGGGGATTAATTACTGACATAAAAAGTTAAAATTTAAAGCTTTATTTCTTTACTGTTACATATTAAACCATTAAGCAAAATATTGACCAGATTTCACATTGTTAAAGATAGCTTGCCAGGCAAGGTAACATACGCCCGCTGACAGCTGTCAGAAATGATAAAACTGTCTTTAGTGACTAAAATATGAATTTTCTCATATTAAAGAAATTTTTTTTAGTTTGAATTCAATTACATATATATATATATGCCAGTTATTTATGCTGAGAAATTCCACAAAATTGTTAAAAATCAATAACCCAAAGACATCAAATTATCGCATCAATATACATGATCACACCATGTTTCATTAAAATCAATTGAAACTTGTAGTCTCCAATTGTTCACAAACAAACTTTGAAGCATTTTTCGTAAGTCAAGGGCAATAACTCAAAGATCGTTCATCGAATTATCAAATTCGAACTGTCCAAGATCTCAATATAAATGATCAAACCAAATTTCATTTAAATCAATTGAAAACTGTAGTCTCTATTGTGTTCACAAACAAACTTTGGTGCGGGTATCTTAAGTCAAGGGCAATAACTCAAAAACTGTTCATAAAAAAATTAAATTCGAACTTGACCAAGACATCATTAATATAAATGATCACACCATATTTCATTAAAATCAATTGAACTCTGTAGTCTCTAATGTGTTCAAACAAATTTTGAAGAGTTTTTCCCAAGTCAAGGGCAATAACACATTTCCATGTGGGCGTATAAAAACTAATTTGTTCACTGGACATCAAATAACTAAATTTTTCTATTTATCATCAAATGACAAGGTTCTCCTACTCACTATCAAATGAAAATATTATCTACATGACTAATTTGTCCTCAATGTTCATCAAATGACTAATTTGTCCTCAGTGTTCATCAAATTAAATGACTAATTTGTCCCCAGTGTTCATCAAATGACTAATTTGTTCTCAGTGTTCAAATTACTAATTTGTCCCACCCACCATCAAATGAATCTAAAAATTTAAGTTAATAAACAATTAAAGCAGCTTCAAGGGTTAATTTCTATACTGAATTGATTTGAAGATAAATTTGTCAAAATTATTTTCCACCTCTCAGTCGAAGTACAAGATGGAGTGTGGATTCTTTCTGAATGTTGTAATCAGAGAGGGTTCTGCCATCTTCTAGTTGTTTACCAGCAAAGATAAGACGTTGCTGATCTGGGGGAATTCCTTCCTTATCTTGGATCTTAGCTTTTACATTTTCAATGGTATCAGCTGGTTCTACTTCGAGGGTGATGGTCTTTCCAGTGAGGGTCTTGACAAAGATCTGCATACCTCCTCTCAATCGAAGTACAAGATGGAGAGTTGATTCTTTCTGAATGTTGTAATCAGAGAGGGTTCTGCCATCTTCTAGTTGTTTACCAGCAAAGATAAGACGTTGCTGATCTGGGGGAATTCCTTCCTTATCTTGGATCTTAGCTTTTACATTTTCAATGGTATCAGCTGGTTCTACTTCGAGGGTGATGGTCTTTCCAGTGAGGGTCTTGACAAAGATCTGCATACCTCCTCTCAATCGAAGTACAAGATGGAGTGTTGATTCTTTCTGAATGTTGTAATCAGAGAGGGTTCTGCCATCTTCTAGTTGTTTACCAGCAAAGATAAGACGTTGCTGATCTGGGGGAATTCCTTCCTTATCTTGGATCTTAGCTTTTACATTTTCAATGGTATCAGCTGGTTCTACTTCGAGGGTGATGGTCTTTCCAGTGAGGGTCTTGACAAAGATCTGCATTCCTCCTCTCAATCGAAGTACAAGATGGAGTGTTGATTCTTTCTGAATGTTGTAATCAGAGAGGGTTCTGCCATCTTCTAGTTGTTTACCAGCAAAGATAAGACGTTGCTGATCTGGGGGAATTCCTTCCTTATCTTGGATCTTAGCTTTTACATTTTCAATGGTATCAGCTGGTTCTACTTCGAGGGTGATGGTCTTTCCAGTGAGGGTCTTGACAAAGATCTGCATACCTCCTCTCAATCGAAGTACAAGATGGAGTGTCGATTCTTTCTGGATGTTGTAATCAGAGAGGGTTCTGCCATCTTCTAGTTGTTTACCAGCAAAGATAAGACGTTGCTGATCTGGGGGAATTCCTTCCTTATCTTGGATCTTAGCTTTTACATTTTCAATGGTATCAGCTGGTTCTACTTCGAGGGTGATGGTCTTTCCAGTGAGGGTCTTGACAAAGATCTGCATACCTCCTCTCAATCGAAGTACAAGATGGAGTGTCGATTCTTTCTGGATGTTGTAATCAGAGAGGGTTCTGCCATCTTCTAGTTGTTTACCAGCAAAGATAAGACGTTGCTGATCTGGGGGAATTCCTTCCTTATCTTGGATCTTAGCTTTTACATTTTCAATGGTATCAGCTGGTTCTACTTCGAGGGTGATGGTCTTTCCAGTGAGGGTCTTGACAAAGATCTGCATACCTCCTCTCAATCGAAGTACAAGATGGAGTGTTGATTCTTTCTGAATGTTGTAATCAGAGAGGGTTCTGCCATCTTCTAGTTGTTTACCAGCAAAGATAAGACGTTGCTGATCTGGGGGAATACCTTCCTTATCTTGGATCTTAGCTTTTACATTTTCAATGGTATCAGCTGGTTCTACTTCGAGGGTGATGGTCTTTCCAGTGAGAGTCTTAACAAAGATCTGCATTTTCAATTTTACAGTAGGTGACCTTCAAAAATTAGAATAGAAAAATATTATCTAGTCAAATACAACATCAGTAATACAAGACGCTAGGCTAAGTCTGGGTTGGATATGCCATTTAAATTCGGTAAAAGCGATAAAAATAATTGGAGAATTTGTAAGGGAAAATAATTCAACCCTTCCGCACGAAAATGCAATATGCCTCGAATGTGACTGATAATATATATCACAGGAGTAAGACTAACCTACAGTTGTATTATCTACGCAACATTACAAAGAATTATAATTTTCAAAATGGCGTCTTTCACTTCCTTAACAAAGTACCTTTCTCATTCTCAACCCAGACCAAGAATCCTCGTAAATTAGCTAGTGTGTAGGCTGAAAATATGCTGATTTAAATCACGAAAACGTCTTCTCAAAATTTAAAAAAAAAAAGAACCAAAATACTGTAAACCTAAATGTTTTAGTACACAAGATAAAAAAAAAAGAACAATACCTCTGAAATAATTTCGACAAAAGCTCTTTTCGTTAATAAATTAACTTAACTGCCAACAGTGCGGCGATCCGTGGTATTTATACAGTGAATGACGTCATCAATAGCACGTGATATCATTTCTATTATCCAGTCACTTATTGATGTTTTCCTGAAACCCTATTTAAATAGATCAGTGTTATGAAACAAGGAAATTTTCGGTCGTGATAATCTAGACAAAAATAGTTCAAAGATCATTAATGTATTTTTAGAAATTACGCTTGTTGTGAAGTCATGGTTATTGATTGACATAAGAAATACTTAGATATCAGCTATGAGCTGACGACTACGCCGTAGTCATGGAAAAACTAATTAGCACTATTTTAATTAATTGCCTATTCTTGGAAAAACAATCGAAACGATATAAGCTAGAGGCCCTTAAATATCTACTGCCTAATCTTCTTTTGTTTTTGGACTTTTAAGAGAAATATTGTTTCGTGGCTTATATAATATACGTAAATAATGATAGCAAATGGAAACTCGCTAATGAATCGACCAACCTAACACAAAACCTTATAGTTGAATATCACCTACAAAAATTAATATTATCGTTTAGGCCTTATATTTATAAAACCTTATATCAAAACTACGTCTGAAAATTTATGACCGTATGTTTAGAATAGACCCACGCTTTATACCAATGAATAGGGCCTAGATTTATATTTACTTTATACCTACTTGCTATTATACATGTATATTGACGTGCAGCTTCGCCTGTGTATTTGAAACAATTGTAAATAATTTTGTACACAGATACGGTCGAAACAGACTAACATATTAAGCTTTATTCTTGTCTCTGGATTGACTACTTTGTATTGGAGAATCGTATTATATATTATGTAATTTGTATCTATAGAAATAAATATTGTTTAAACTATATCAAAAGTTTAGATTTAGGCATTCCCTAAATCTGGGCTATTTGTAGTTAGCAAACTTTATAATAGTATATTGGAAATTTATAAATCTGAAAGGAAAGACAAGTCAAAAGTATAAGACATCGTCAATTAGGTCCTTTTCTAGGACAGTGGCCAGGAATGAATTGGTTGTGGGGCTCAGATTTTGTTCTCAGAAAAATTAAAGCATTAAAGGCCCAGAGAACTCATTTCTGACAATTTTGAGGTGCCAAAAATGTACCAAAATCTAATTTTTTTGATTTTGTACAAAGACACTGTATTTTTTTTTTATCTTTTATTATTTAAGGTATATGATAGAACGTACTGTAAATAAATTATTTGTAGTCTGAAGCCAAAGTTATTTTCTACTTCCGGTTAGATCTTGAACGTTCAAGACTACTTCCAGCGAATGAAAAGTCACCACGTTGTTTGGGAAGCTTCTCCGGTATAGTTTTAGGGTTTTGTGTGAATAATTGGTGAAATCGATAAGTGCATACATGACAGATTACTGAAAACTGAACAATACACAAGGTAAATAAATTTGAAATTATGATAGTAATCAAAAGAACTCAAAATTCCCTGGAAAAATTATCTTTATTACTAATTAGGTACCGGTAATAGTATTGTATTACTCGCCACTCGGATATTCCTGTCTCTCTGACTGAGTCTGCTAAGGCTAAAGCGTGAAGACCAGTTCCAGTGCTAGTTAAAGTTGTTATAAGGGAAGAATTTTTTGATTTGTGCGTTTGTCAGCGATTGGGAAATAGTCTGCATTCAGGGTCATAATTGTTTTCACTGTATCCTCCTAAATGTAGGAAATATCCATCCTAGTGTACTAGAGTAGGAAGATAGACAGGACCATCTCTGTCTCATATAGTCTATTCCAGCCTCAGATAGCTATTTGAACATGTCGATCGTATAAAGGTTCCCTTCATAAACCCATATCGACTACGAAACCATGACCCTCTCCGTTCTATCTCTGTGGATACAGAATCCTTCAATTGCTTGTTTCTACCCTCAGTTGTTAGACAATGGAATCTTCTCCCAATCGAAATCTGACAATCACCAAATCTTTCTAATTTCAAGTGTGAACTCACCAAAAATCTGAACATTTGTCACACTTCCTCAATCCCATTCCACTATTACCTTGGCGTCCGCAAAAATCAAATAACGCACTGCAAACTTCGTAATTCGAAAAGTCCCTTAAACGCACATAGATTCTTGATGCACATCTCCGATAACCCATCCTGTTCGTGTGGTCACCACTATGAAGATTCAGAACATTTCCTCCTATATTGCTCGAATTTCATAGACCCTAGACAAATTACTACCAGACTTCCCCCTCCCTGTTTTCAGGACATTAGAACTCTTCTTTATGGAAACACACATGTTAGTAAAGATGAAAACGAATTAATAGTTAATACAGTCCACAAATTCTTTAATCTTACTAAACGTTTTGACTAATCAAAGTTATTTTACCTTATAAAACATGATATGCACCCCAAACCCCAAACCTTATCGATAACTGAACTTCTCCTTTTTTTTTCTCTTTTTTTTACATATATCTTTGTATATTTATTTATCTTGCCTCGTTACTGTTATACTTTTTATATATTATATTTGTAACTGTGAATACAGGCGAAGCAGATTAACATAAGCTACCAGCTTGTTTCTGTATCGTCATTTCATATCGTTCTATAATTTGTATTGCACTGCTAAATGAAATAAATATTGTTTAAATCAAAGAGAGAAAATATAGGCACTGTTTAATGGGGATTTTCCTCTGTGGGTTTTGAACCCATTTAGATCAGTCGTACCATCATTTTTTCCCTACACCATTTATGTCACGTCTGCAGTTCCATCAAAGGTTTTTTTTTAACGAAACGATTTTGCATCAGCAATTTAGAACTGTGTAAGATGTCCTAGGTCACAGAGACATGTGATACTAACAAAACGGAAGTTAGGATTATGCCCAGCACTAATGTACAGTCATTGTAAAAGTACTTTGATAAAAAAACGCATCTTTAAGAGTGTGGAAAATCTCCATTTAACAAGACCTTTGTCTTCTGACTCTACTCCAGCCGACAATTGTCAAAATATCCACCAGAGGCTGAAATAGATGAAGTTACTGAAGTTACTGTACTGGTAACCTAGAAAAAACCTGTAATTTCTCTAATGTTGGCCCTTAGGTTTGATTAATGGCAAAATACCAATTGTCTCATATCTTAGATCTCCTTCTTAGAAGTAGCTTTTAAGTGACAATTAAACATGCTTTGTTTAGTGCAATTGCAAGAAGAATATACATTTGAATTAAAAAGGGAATGAAGCAAATCAATGCTATCAATGCTATCAGTGTCGCTGATTACTCACAAACACTTTAGAATTGTGTTTAAAGACGGTGCACTTTTCCAGATTGAATTATAAAAGCGATATTACTATGTAATTTAAGAGACAAAGGGCCTTAGTTGCAGATATATATGTACCTATGTTATTTCAGATGAAAATTTGGAAGAGACTACTGCTACTGGGTCTTTTAGGGTCTATATTAACTACATTAGTCCAATGTGAAACTGATGGTGCTGCTGATGATGAAGATGATGATGGTGTTGTAGAAGTTGAAGAAGATGATTATGAAGTTCCTAAAAGAGAGAAGGTATGCATTCTATTTATTGGCTGTCCTAAGTTATATGTCTGATATCCATTGATCCTAGCTACTAGCTTAGTTATTTCCTCTTGTCCTATACCAGCTGACACATGCTGTGGTGATTCTTAGAAAGTTTCTCTTATTTCCCAAATTCTTCTTGAATTCAATCTTGAAAAGTCTACATGCCAAATACAATGGCTATTAGATATGTCCTCAAGATAGACTGTTTCTAGAATATTTCTAGATTGTGTTTTTATCAAATAATTTCATTTGATTTCAGCCTGTTTATAAAAAACCAACAATAAAAGGGAATTCGTTTTTTTCTGAGCCATTTCATACTAAAGATGAATTTTCCAAAAGGTAAGACTGGAGTTATTTTGATATATTACCGACCAGTACCGTATGTTTGGTAATAAAATTCCTTAAACACTCATGCATTATAAGCTTTTTTCATTGAAATTTAGGAAAGACTGGGCAAGTCATATTCATTAGTACTTCACCTTCCTACCTACAAAATATAGAATTCTAAATGAAATCAGAAATTTAGATATATGATTCATAGAGAAGGAATGTCTCAATTCAGGTTTTACAGCAATTGTTTGCATGCATGAATAATATTTTTAGTTTAAAATGAATATATTAGTGAGAGAACAGAATTGTTCAAAGAACTTGGGTTTGTAATTTAGAGTATTGAGATATATATTGATGGTGTATATAATTTATTTTGTAGATGGGTTCAATCAGAAGCTAAGAAAGATAGTACTGATGAATCTATAGCTAAATATGATGGTAAGGCTTACTATTGTATAATTATTTAAACTATGTAAGGAAGTTAAATATTGCTATGTTGAAGAATTGTAGACTCAGGTTCTGTTTTAATTTTTCTTACATCTCAGTCTTATAGTCTTAATTTAGATTTTAAAGTATTATATACGTATTGTTCAAGTGAGTAGCATTTGCTAGTCTTGTTAATACCAATGGAAAATACCATTCGAACTGGATTTAAAGAGTGGAAAGAATGTTGTTGGAACATATTTACTCAAAGGCATCAACTATATAATGGATATTATAAGATCAGACAGTTGTAGGGATCTTAGATTTATTTTTATTCTTTGTAGTCATCATAGTCAAACCAATTGATTGAATATTCATTTTGAAAAGTGATTTGGGTCATGAGTTTATATTGTTACCTGTATATGTGGTAAAATCAAAGCAGAAACACTATTATATGACTACATGTATATATATTCCTGTAATAGATTTATAGGTTATTGTGTATGCATCCTTTCTCTACAAATATTTACACAATAAATTTTATTTTCTCTGTAACATGGTTATAATGACAAAATCAACATCTGTGTAGTCTGAGTACTTGAATATTAAACAATACATTTATATAGGCCAATGTTTATCATTCATCTACACTTCATTCATTCATTCATTCATTCATTCACAGTATGTGTTGATTATCAACTATAATTATATACCAGGGCTCCACTATACCATGTGTTGTCTACTATTGTTATATTGGTAATTGATAAATAATGTTCATTGTAAATAATAGATATTAACTAGAGGTGTATAGGTGTTAGATAAACAATAAGATTGTGATATTAACTGTTAATAGATTATGAAGGTTTAAATTAAACTGACATGTAGGTCAAGTTGACAATTAAAATAGTCTGTTAAAAAATCAATAAAATAAATTGTAGCTTTCTTTCTTGCAATCTAGATAAATTTACATTTTGCTTTAAAGTTCATGATCATTTTGGGGGTTTGATTCGGGTCTTGAATATATGTAAAGTCTTCAGAAGTAATAGAACTGTACGAAAATAGCTTAACTCCTACAAATATACTTCAAACTAGGAATTTCACTTTCTATCTATATATGTCTTTTCTATGAAAGTGGTTGAGTCTCAAGGAAAGACGAGTTATCATTTTAACTTTTAAACAGGATTAAATCTGGGCACACAAGGATTTGAAGGCCTAAATTTCAAGGGTGAGCTGTGAACACTATTACTGATTGGCCTAGCTAAAAAAAATTCTTGTTTCTAAGACTATAGTATGATTGGTTATTGTTAAACAGTTATAAGGAATTGTCTGTTCTGAAAATTGTAGATATTTTACAGACTAATAGTATTAAATATAATAATTTTGATATTCTTAGGTAAATGGTTAGTAGAGGAACCAAAAGAAAATCCTTTAGTTGGAGATTTGGGATTAGTTCTTAAGGTAAATATTATATAAATACAATAATCATAAGATTGACAAATAACATCTATTTGCAAATAGTCTAGATTGAAATAAATGCTAACTCCTCAGTGCCTTGGAGTTGATATCTCAGCTACTCACACATGCTTTGTAGAGATTTTTGTCAGATTTACTTACATTATGTTTCAGGCTTGGTAAATGGCTTGTTAAATTAGTTGTTATGCCTGAATTTCTTGTATAATAATATAGTGTATTAATTTGGCATCAATAAAATTTGTAATTTTTTATTTTGTAATTACTTTAATATTATGTTTATTCTTACAGTCTAAAGCCAAACATCATGCTATATCATCGAAGCTAGATAAACCTTTTGATTTCTCAGGAAAACCCTTTGTTATGCAGTAAGTCTTTGGCTTTATTTTTTGTCTTCTAAGTTTTCTTTAGAGTATTGGATGCTGCAGAAGCAGGGATCTAGTCATTCAGATGAGACAAAACAGCAACTGTAAGCTGTGTTCATGAGACCTTAAAAAAGGAGTTTGTCAATTTCAGGATGCTGCCATGACAATCATTGATGACTTGATAAAGTAGTACGTTTATGTTAAAAAAAACGGTTGTTATTTTAGAATTTAGAGTGTTTTAAATGTAACAAACTACTCTATATATTGTTACAAAAACTATCACTGTTTATTCTGTTTATTTCCAGATATGAAGTTAAATTCCAGAATGGTATGGAATGTGGTGGTGCCTATGTTAAATTATTGTCTCAAGGTGCGGAAAAGAATCTGGTAAGTTTCTGGAATTTGCTATTTAAACCCCTTACAATTGTTTTCACTCTTTAGATTTTCCTGAACCATACCAAGTTAAGTGTTAAAGATTTTAGAGTGGTAGACACTTGATACAATGTATTCATAATAAGGATGTTTCATCCATCAGGTAGACAGGCCATGCCCACTCTGAGCTTTGTAAGGACTTTATCAAGTGAAATCTAATTGTTCCATTATTTGAAATAATTTCAGAAAAAGTTTCATGATAAATCACCATATACTATTATGTTTGGTCCTGATAAGTGTGGTAATGATCATAAGGTATGTACACTAACATCTCTTTACATAATTCATCATTGTTCTTAGATTGATGTTCTCATTCTTATAGCTTAAACAGCTCAAACTCAAGTGTACAACAGAAATAGCTTGAGAAACAGCAAGAAAGTTTAGTGGATTAACTAATGCGTAATTATGTCTTTTTTTACTTCCCTTGAAACACAATTATCTTCAAGTGTAACATGGTGATTTTATCTTAGAAGGTTATTGCACCATAATCATAGAGCTATTTTATGCCAATTAAAATGTGACTATAATTGTTTTTTTTTCTCTTTTCAGCTACATTTTATCTTCAGACATAAAAACCCTAAAACAGGAGAAATAGAGGTAATATACTGTTATATCTTATATGTTATGTTAATGGAGTATTGATCATGTCTATGTGTTATAAAGCTATCTACTATCTCATTCACTGCTGTAAAAACATTCTTGATATTTTAATGAGATATATACATGTATTATACAGATTGAGCTATATTATTAAGATTTTCAACTCTATAAACAATGACTATGTTATGGCTATGTTATGATTTTCAACTCTATAAACAATGACTATGTTAAGATTTTCAACTCTATAAACAATGACTATGTTATTATTTTCAACTCTATAAACAATGACCATGGTATTATTTTCAGGAGAAACATGCTAAGAAACCCACCGCCAACATAGATAGTTATTTCTCTGATAAAAAAACTCATCTTTACTCTTTAGGTTAGTATCTTTCATTTTCTGTTCAATCTGAAAAAAAACTTTGTCCAAATGGGGGAAAGCAATAGAACACTTGTTTTCTGTCTGTCAGTAGCAAGCAATATTCGTTTTCTTGGTTCCCTTTAAAAAAAAAAACAATTTTTTCTGATGTTTGTATTGGTGTTTCAGTCTTAGCTTATTGTTGGCCTTTCAAAATATCATTTACTTTCCAGAGTTCAAGTGGCCCTCTTCTTTCACATTTTAACATTATAGTTCTGAAACACATGTCTTATAATAATAATGAATGTGAGTGAAGTTATAATTTGACCTATATACATTCTTTGTATATTTCAGTTATCAAACCAGATAATACATTTGAAGTTAAAATTGATGGTTCAGTTGTAAATAAAGGTAGTTTATTAGAAGATGTCAGGTAATTTATGTTGATTTATGTTAATTTCTTCATCCTCAGGAATCTGATAGCTTAATTTATTCATCCTCAGGAATCTGATAGCCAGTTAACTAGTGATAATTAATTCAAAATCATATACTTAATATTCATTTATTCATAGATATTTTATTCATTCATATTCCACTCCTCAGTCATACATGTATTCTACATCAGTTTGTAGCCCATTAATACACCAACTAATTGGTTATAAGCAAGAGAGGTTACATAGATCTCCAATCCTTCTCATTTTTTATGTGAATAAAAATTGTTCAAAACAAGAAGTCATAATTCAATATCTATTTGAATTCCTGTATGATATATTCTAAATATCTATTTGCTGTTTAGCTGTAATTTTAATTTTTAAGTCCACCTGTGAATCCACCTAAAGAAATAGAAGATCCAAATGATAAGAAACCACAAGATTGGGATGAACGAGAAAAGTAAGTATTGAATTGAATAAACAGTAAGACTGATTAGCACTAAATCTTGATACTTTATTTATTTGAATAAAAAACATCATATGAATACAGATAATTGATCGTTGAAATCTGTATTTTTGTCACTATTATTTACTGCACTTCGTAATGGTTTTTTATGACATTCTATATTGAAATCTTGTATTGAAAATTTTAAAATATTTTGTATTATTTGTATTGTAGAATTGCTGATCCTGATGCCTCAAAACCTGATGATTGGTAAGTAATATAGATATAATATATATAATATGTAATATATAATATAATATAGTAATATGTAAAGATATGAAATCCTAGTCAGAGTGTCATTGTAAAATATAGTACATACTGAAATGTTCAAATCAGCTTGACGTCTGTTTGATAAATGAAAGATGTGTTATTATTATAGGGATGAGACTGAACCTGAAACTCTAGTAGATGAAGATGCTGAGAAACCAGAAGGATGGTTAGATGATGAACCTAAATTAATACCTGATCCTACAGCTGTTAAACCTGATGATTGGTGGGTATATCTTTTATAACTTGATAATCCTAGTTATATTTATCTAGTACAATATAAGTATATTATTTGTCTTTAATGATCCTTCAAACAGTACATCATATCAAACCATAAATAAAGTACCATCTGTAATTTGATTTCATAGTTTGGATTTTAAATTTTACTTACATGTATCAAAGTTCTTAAAGTTTAATGGTTTGAAGCCCTATAAAAGGGTCAGCCTTTGTCTCATGATCTGAACATATATGACATTTACAGACATTTTCATGTTCTATTTCTGAAATTTGAAAAATTACCTTTATTTTCCAGGGATGATGAAATGGATGGTGAATGGGAAGCTCCATTGATAGGTAGATAAGATTACCCTTTATCTTTGGAATTAGATAAGAAAATTGAAATAGTTAAAGACTCATATAAAATATCTTTTCATCTACATCTAGTGCATTGATGTTTTTTGTAAATAAGGTAGTATGGGTGTAGCAAATGATATAGTGTGTTCAAGAGATGTGTATTTTAATTTGCACCAAAAGAAGTATAAAATTTCTGGCCTAGTTCCCTAATAAATTGTTATTTATAATTTCAGACAATGACAAATGTACCTCAGCACCAGGATGTGGACCCTGGAAAGCACCTGTTATTAAAAATCCTAAATATAAAGGAAAATGGTTTGCTCCAATGATTGATAATCCAAGTTATCAGGTAATTGTTGGATTTTTCAATGTATCTATTGGTAGGTTTTATTAGTGTACAATATTTCCTGACCTCATCATTTATTTTTCAGGGTATCTGGAAGCCAAAAATGATCACCAATCCTAATTATTTTGAAGATATTAATCCTTATCAAATGACTCCCATTGTAAGTAAATGATATCTTTTTTAGCATTTAACATGTTTAAATAAAGTCCAATTTGTTTGCGCAAAACCATGATATACTTTCAACCAATTCAATTCACCATGTAAAGTGTTCTTTTATTAAGTACAGACTGAAATACTTTATTAATAATGCCATAAGCTCCAACTTAATTTCGGAATGGAAGATATGGAATGAATGAAGTATCCAACAGAAAATATAAAAGATCTATAGAAATATTGCAATGAGAATGTATAAATTTATCTAGAGAATGATGTTAAACGTTGATTAAATATTTCAGTCAGCTCTAGGTCTAGAGTTATGGTCTATGACAGATGATATAGTATTTGATAATTTCCTGATCACTGATGATTTAGATGTAGCCCAAACCTGGTCTCAATCTTCCTGGGTTATTAAAAATATGGAAGAAAAAGCTTCATCCGGTGGTTTGGTAAGTTTTAAGCTATATATTTCCTAAAATAAAGATCTCCTGGATGCTAGTCCCCCCTTCAAAATGATAATTAACAATACGATGATTCCATTTGATTTGGGAAATTACCACTTTCTCTCCAAAATTCTATTTGATTCCCAGATAAACATCTTTATATATTTGAATATAGATCTGTTAATATCTTAAACCCTGGTAAGAAACAATTTAAACATGTCCTTGTACAGAAACCTCATAAATCCTAAAGGCATTAATTCATATAATTTGCTTCAAATTTGTAATTAGATACTTTATGATGCACATATATCATTCTATAAATATGTCTTTGATGTTTTACAATCTTTTCATATCTTAACAAAACTGATGAAATTTTGGCCTTGTTTTCAGAGTTCTATATATAACTCCATCATGGATATAACTAAAGATAGGCCCTGGCTCTGGGCTGTATTTTTAGTTGTTATAGCCCTACCTATAGTACTTATATTAGCTTATTGTTGTTCCAATTCCAACAAGGTAGGACTGAATACACTTCGAAAGATGTTTCAACGATTTCTTTTTCTCAATAAAGATGAAATTTTGTTACATGATATCAAATGTTTTCTGGGTGCGTTCTTTAAAATTATTATATTCTTAACTTAGAATGACATGAACAAAATTATAGTTAAAATGATATTTATAGTATAATTGAATTATGTTACAAGAGAATAGTCATAGTAGTAGAGGAAAAGAAATTGTTGACATCTATTTAGCATGAAGTTATTTTGAATGTTTAGATGTTTTTGTTTATTTTTCACTAATATAGGGTATTTGGCATTCCCTACGTTCATCAGCTGATGAAAGACCATGGCTATGGGGAGTATATGTAGTTGTTTTATTGTTACCAATTGTTTTACTTTCAATTTGTTTCTGTCCTAAATCTGGACCAATAAAGGTATTTTATAGTTTAATATATTTTAGTTTCACTTTATTTGATGTGTTTAACACTTGACACTGTATGATTATTTTTAGCATGAAATTTGTATTTTTGCCTTGAAATTTGTATTTTTGCCTTGAAATTTTTCAATTATAAAATTGTTTTGAAACTTTTCACAAATTCCTATGGTTACATTTACTTATAAGAGGAAAACAAGTTTCATTTTCTTCAAATCATTTGAGTTTTCTGGCTGTGATATTTTTTATCCTATTTTCATACCACCTTAAAATATCTTGTCTATGATATCACAGTAATGATTTATATGGTAGAGTCAGTTTTTGTGGAATGTGTTAAGGCAAATTTGTAACAATGCTGACTGATATATAAGTAAGTTATTTTTTATCTATTAATGCCCAGTCTGAAGATATAGATGCTAGAAAGAAGAAGACTGATGAAGCTTCACCTGATGATAAACCAGAAGAAGAGAAAGAAGAAAATAACTCTAATATAGGACCTAGTGGAGATTCAGCTTCTCCTAAAAAATCTAAAAAATCAGATCTCGAAACTAATAAAGTAAGTCCTAAACAGTTCTTAATGTTGGTAGAGCATTTCATATGTCATATGTGGCAACATTCAAGATAAATACCAGCAGTCCACCTTATTTCAGGTACAATAAATTATAATTGATAGTTTATATTGAGTTCATTAATACTTATAATAAATGAAAATAAAGTGGATTGCTTGTGAATTTTGTCAATTGTATCTGTATATGTAAAAAAAAAATGAATGAATGACCTAGTGTAGTAAACTAGAACTGAATGTTGAAAAATGTTATTTTTGTTGATGACACCTCTGTATATTTTGACAAATGAATATTTCTGTATACCAGGATGATGAAGAAGAAGAAGAAGGTGATGAGGGCGATGCTGAAGAAGATGAAGATGAAGTCCCAGAAAAAGAATCACCTCGGTAAGTCTCGAAAACATCAACTGTTGTATGGATAGTAAAGATACATCAATAACAAGTCTTTGCCTCCCTGCTGTAAAATCCAATCAAATCATGAAAGGTGCCTATTGCTGTCAAGGTATAAGACACATTGCATGTGAAGATGGTCTTTAAGGTCACTATATCCAATAGAATATTTGTAGATAACATTGATGATAAATGTTATGAATAAAATAATGGACTGTATATTTTTTATTGCAGCCAGAGAAAAAGACGAGCTCGTAAAGATTAAATGATATAATGAATGTGTCAGTATTTTATTGTGAGAGTTGTGAATGATATTCAACTTTATGAATGAAGGGGAGATGACTCTAATTTGTATATCTTGTTATCATCATGTTGCAAATCTCATTTTAAACTCCAGTTGTCATCTTACTACCATAATCACCTTGTCTCCAGTATCAAAACCATGTAATGTAAGGGTAATTGAAGAGATAAATTCTAAAAAAAATAAAAATAATATCTGTCCAAGTTTTTCCACCTTACATAGCTCAAGTCTATTTTGATAGATTTTAGAATTGTCTAGATTTACAATTGTTGAAACTTTTCATTTGTTACAAGCAATAATGTAAGTTTTTCAATGTTTTGTTTTTAATTTTAAATGGTTAAAAGTTCATATTTGTCTTTTTTACTGTTTTATACTTAGCTCGTGTAATTATATTTTTGTTGTGAATTGAATGTATTATATTAAAAGAGTTGAATGGCTTGAAACTGATAAAAATCAAGTTGTACAATCAAATGTAGACCTCAAGTGTTTATATAATGAAATTGTTGAATGTCTTTTATTGAAAATACTGGCCAATATATTGAGCAAAGAATGAATATATAATATAGTGGTGTACTAATGTTAGTGTAGTTAGTAGTAGCAGTAAGAGCTAATGTTTAAAAGTGTATTATTCAAAATTCAAATCAAGTTATTTTCTAACCTAGTAGAGATATTTGTGCCTATCTTGGAACAATATAAACCATAATTAATAGTATGTTTTATTTCTAATTAGTTCTAAATTTTAATCATTTGAACACAGAATGTGTCTATTATCTTTAATTGCTAATCAAAAGTATACAAAATGATGCCCCTCCTTTTAGTAATGAATTGTGAAAAAGTCACAGAAGTAATATTTTAACTGTGTATTAGTAGGATTAGTAACATTGTAGAATTTAGAAGCCTCAAATGAAATTATGCATAAGATGTAATTATTGATTATTTAAAAACTCTGTTTCTTCAACTGCAAATTGTATTTCTATTTAAAGATGTCATTTCGTTTCATGAATGAATTAATGATATATGTTTTTGTCTTAAATCATAATTAAAAGTTGATTAAAAATTCTTTTGTTGTTACTTCTTGCTTGAGTCTCATTCTTGTACTTAAACTGCAATAGCCCATTAACCTGGTTATTATATTGATGCCATTGAACTGGTATTTGTTTAAACAACAATGATCTAGCTATTAGTTCAGTACCATGAGGTGGTATTTGTTTAAACTGCAATGACCTAGCTATTAGTTCAGTACCATGAGGTGGTATTTGTGTAAACAACAATGACCTAGCTATTAGTTCAGTACCATGATGTGGTATTTGTTTAAACAACAATGATCTAGCTATTAGTTCAGTACCATGATGTGGTATTTGTTTAAACAACAATGATCTAGCTATTAGTTCAGTACCATAAGGTGGTATTTGTTTAAACAACAATGATCTAGCTATTAGTTCAGTACCATGAGGTGGTATTTGTTTAAACTGCAATGACCTAGCTATTAGTTCACTACCATAAGGTGGTATTTGTTTAAACAACAATGATCTAGCTATTAGTTCAGTACCATGATGTGGTATGAGTTTCAACTACAATAACCTAACTATTAGTTCAGTACCATGAGGTGGTGGTAGTTGGAACTACAATAACCTAGCTATTAATACAGTACCATGAGGTGGTATGAGTTTGAACTACAATAACCTTGCTATTAGTCCAGTACGATGAGGCGGACCTAGCTATTAGTTCAGCACCATGAGGTGGTATTAATTTGAACTACAATGACCTAGCTATTAGTTCAGTACCATGAGGTGGTGTTAGTTTGCTCTACAATGACCTAGCTATTAGTTCAGTACCATGAGGTGGTATGAGTTTGAACTACAATGACATAGCTATTAGTGCAGTACCATGAGGTGATATTAGTTTGAACTACAATGACCTAGCTATTGGTTCAGTACCATGGGGTAGTATTAGTTTGGACTACAATAACCTAGCTATTGATTCAGTACCATTAGGTGGTATTAGTTTGAACTACATTGACCTAGCTATTAGTTCAGTACCATGAGGTGGTATGAGTTTGAACTACAACGACCTAGCTATTAGTTCATTACCATGAGGTGGTATGAGTTTGATCTACAATAACCTAGCTATTACTTCAGTACCATGAGGTGGTGTTAGTTTGAACTACAATGACCTAGCTATTAGTTCATTGCCATGAGGTGGTATTAGTTTAAACTACAATAACAGAGCTATTAGTTCAGTACCATGAGGTGGTGTTAGTTTGAACTACAATGGCCAAGCTATTAGTTCAGAACCATGAGGTGGTGTTAGTTTGAACTACAATAACCTAGCTATTAGTTCAGTACCATGAAGTGGTATTAGTTTGAAGTATAATGACCTAGCTATTAGTTCAGCACCATGCGGTGGTATTAGTTTGAACTACAATGACCTAGCTATTAGTTCAGTAGCATGAGGTGATATTATTTTGAACTACAATGACCTAGCTATTAGTTCAGTACCATGAAGTGGTATTAGTTTGAAGTATAATGACCTAGCTTTTAGTTCAGCACCATGCAGTGGTATTAGTTTGAACTACAATGACCTAGCTATTAGTTCAGTACCATGCGGTGGTGTTAGTTTGAACTACAATGACCTAGCTATTAGTTCAGTACCATGAAGTGGTATTAGTTTGAAGTATAATGACCTAGCTATTAGTTCAGCACGATGAGGTGGTATGAGTTTGAACTACAATGACATAGCTATTAGTTCAGTACCATGAGGTGATATTAGTTTGAACTACAATGACCTAGCTATTAGTTCAGTACCATAAGGTGGTATTAGTTTGAAGTATAATGACCTAGCTATTAGTTCAGCACGATGAGGTGGTATGAGTTTGAACTACAATGACATAGCTATTAGTTCAGTACCATGAGGTGATATTAGTTTGAACTACAATGACCTAGCTATTAGTTCAGTACCATAAGGTGGTATGAGTTTGAACTACAATGACCTAGCTATTAGTTCAGTACCATGAGGTGGTATTAGTTTGAATTACAATAACCTAGCTATTGATTCAGTACCATGAGGAGGTATTAGTTTGAACTACATTGACCTAGCCATTAGTTCATTACCATGAGGTGGTATTAGTTTGAACTACAATAACCTAGCTATTAGTTTAATACCATGAGATGGTATTAGTTTGAACTACAATAACCTAGCTATTAGTTCAGTACCATGAGTTGGCATGAGTTTGATCCACAATGACCTAGGTATTAGTTCAGTACCATGAGATGGTATGAGTTTGATCTACAATAACTTAGCTATTAGTTCAGTACCATCAGGTGGTATTAGTTTGAACTACAATTACCTAGCCATTAGTTCAGTACCATGAGGTGGTATTAGTTTAATCTACAATGACCTAGCTATTAGTTCAGTACCATGAGATGGTATGAGTTTGAACTACAATGACCTAGCTATTAGTTCAGTACCATGAGGTGGTATGAGTTTGAACTACAATGACCTAGCTATTAGTTCAGTACCATGAGGTGGTATGAGTTTGATCTACAATAACCTAGCTATTAGTTCAGTACCATGAGGTGGTGTTAGTTTAACTACAATGACCTAGCTATTAGTTCATTACCATGAGGAGGTATTAGTTTGAACTACAATAACCTAGCTATTAATTCAGTACCATGAGGTGGTGTTAGTTTGAACTACAATGGCCAAGCTATTAGTTCAGAACCATGAGATGGTGTTAGTTTGAACTACAATGACCTAGCTATTAGTTCAGTACCATGAAGTGGTATTAGTTTGAAGTATAATGACCTAGCTATTAGTTCAGCACCATGCGGTGGTATTAATTTGAACTACAATGACCTAGCTATTAGTTCAGTACCATGAGGTGGTATGAGTTTGATCTACAATGACCTAGCTATTAGTTCAGTACCATGAGGTGATATTAGTTTGAACTACAATGACCTAGCTATTAGTTCAGTACCATAAGGTGGTATGAGTTTGAACTACATTGACCTAGCTAGTAGTTCAGTACCATGAGGTGGTATTAGTTTGAACTACAACGACCTAGCTATTAGTTCATTACCATGAGGTGGTATTAGTTTGAACTACAATAACCTAGCTATTAGTTCAGTACCATGAGGTAGTATTAGTTTGAACTACAATAACCTAGCTATTGATTCAGTACAATGATGTGGTATTAGTTTAAACTACATTGACCTAGCTAGTAGTTCAGTACCATGAGGTGGTATTAGTTTGAACTACAACGACCTAGCTATTAGTTCATTACCATGAGGTGGTATTAGTTTGAACTACAATAACCTAGCTATTAGTTCAGTACCATGAGGTGGTGTTAGTTTGAACTACAATGAGCTAGCTATTAGTTCATTACCATGAGGTGGTATTAGTTTGAACTACAATAAACTAGCTATCAGTTCAGTACCATTAGGTGGTGTAAGTTTGAACTACAATGGCCAAGCTATTAGTTCAGAACCATGAGGTGGTGTTAGTTTGAAATACAATGACCTAGCTATTAGTTCAGTACCATGAAATGGTATTAGTTTGAAGTATAATGACCTAGCTATTAGTTCAGCACCATGCGGTGGTATTAGTTTGAACTACAATGACCTAGCTATTAGTTCAGTACCATGAGGTGGTATTAGTTTGAACTACAATAACCTAGCTATTAGTTCAGTGCCATGAGGTGGTATAAGTGTAACCTACAATAACCTAGCTATTAGTTCAGTGCCATGAGGTGGTATAAGTGTAACCCACAATAACCTAGCTATTAGTTCAGTGCCATGAGGTGGTATAAGTGTAACCTACAATAACCTAGCTATTAGTTCAGTACCATGAGGTGGTATTAGTTTGAACTACAATGACGTAGCTATTAGTTCAGTACCATGAGGTGGTATTAGTTTGATCTACAGTGACCTAGCTATTAGTTCAGTACCATGAGATGGTATGAGTTTGAACTACAATAACCTAGCTATTAGTTCAGTGCCATGAGGTGGTATAAGTGTAACCTACAATAACCTAGCTATTAGTTCAGTACCATGAGGTGGTATGAGTTTGAACTACAATAACCTAGCTATTAGTTCAGTACCATGAGGTGGTATGAGTTTGAACTACAATGACCTATTAGTTCCCTTGCCTTGATACTGGTTTGATTAGAAAGAGCCTCTGTAAAATTCATTAGCTGCAGTTTTTAAAAATATAAAAAATTCTCTAGATATGGTAGGACCACCGACTTTGAAAATAACCCAAAAATTTTTGTAAATGTGTTTATTAGAAGAGTGAATCATCTACAGCAAATAAAGTCACAAATTGAAATAAATGACTAAAAAAATGACTTAATTTAGGTGTCTAGGACAGGTGTCAACAAGGTGTTCAGCCAATGGAATGGCATATAAACATAATAATTGACCAATCACAAAGCTAAAGGTACAAAAAGATATCACATGATCATCACAACACAACCTGATTGGTCAATCACTTAAAAATGGAATGTTGAGAGCCCTTTTGATGGTAGCATTGAGCCAATGGTTGATCCATACCTCTCTTAAAATCATGCTGTAGATTTATTTCCAATTGATATTAAGCTCTAGATCTGCCACAGACTTCAAATCTATTGAACTATAACAAAACTGTTTTAAATCCAAAAGTATTTCAATCACAATTTGACAAAATCTATTCAAGGGCATGAATTCATAATAATTTTGAAAATCAATTTAAAAATGCAAGAACTAACCAAAACTTAAAATTGTGGAGAAATGCATAAATCAAATATATAAATTACTAGATAATATGTTCTTGTGTTAACACTGGATAAATATTTTTACTATTATTATTTAAATCGTAACACTGAACACATATTATATATATATATAACGTTACAACACTATAAAAGCTTGAAAAATAAAAAAGGAAATATTGTATCGCCTTCGGCATCGATTAAAAAATATCAATGTTAATCCTGTCAATGAGAATTGATTATTTATAAAAAAAATACCAAAGTTACGAGTCATTAACAGAATTTCAAAAAGCTGAATTTCATATACTGAAAATTTAGTAAAACATTGACACAAATTCACCAAAATACCTGAAAAGTCTTGACTCTAAGATAATAATAAATTGTTGACTAACTACTGATATATTAAGATAAATAGAAACCACTGAGTATACAATATAAATCAACATATAATATCTACCATTAAAAACAATGTGCACATTATTACAGATCCAATCTAAAAGTGATAATGTACAATGAATGGTGGGAGAAGTCGCAGTGGTAACCTAGTTGTGTCTCGTGTTCTAGTCCAAATTTCCAAAATTAACTTAATGATCAGATAAATCATTGTAAGTTTAGAGTTATTGAAATTTGACCCAGAAAACTTAAACCCAGGTGCCAGTATGGAAACAGTTTCAAACAATGTTATCATTCATTTCCTTCACATCATTCCTGTTAAAATCTGCTTCCATTCTAGCACCCTGTTCGGACATCTTAAGGTGAATCTTCGCTGTAATGAAATCTTTCCTTTGATCTATTCTGTACCACTGAAGGTATTAAGTTTCTATCAGGTTTAACTTGCAAAATTGAGACTTCTATCAGACTGTCCACTACCATTTGAATTCTTATTAAAGAAACACTACGACTTCGTTGGAAATTAAAAGATAAAAATGACTTGTTTTAAAAATTGAGTACCGTAATATTTGGTTAAAATATACTTAACAAGCAATAATGTTGATCATACATTTAAAAATAACATATATACAAGAAATTGATGGATAATTTGAAGTCTTATTATGTATATCCAATTAAACCAAAATTTATATTAAAAGAAACTCTTTTTTTGATAATTATAGGCTATAGCATACAGATAATTTCATTCAATTTTCAATACATTTAGAAAATTAGCTACATCGACATCTTTCAAAAGCTTGTGTATAACTGAATTGTTACGACCCAAATTTGAAGTAAGTGAATTTTAAGTGAAGCATTTATGTTCCAAATTCTATGTAGCTATTTCAAAATATCTATATGTTGGATTTTCATAGCCATTCATCTGCATATTGGCTACGTGTCGTTCCTCTGGTGAGGCGGCTGGATCTACCTCTACGTAACCATGGGTTACAGATGATCGTGATGTTCTACGTCTCAACATGACTATAGCAACAACAATGATAACAAAAATAGACACACTACCAATAGCGATACCGAATGTACTACCAACTTTATTGGAGGCTACAGCAGACACAACATTTACATCCTGAAATAGACGAAATTTAACAGATGAAATATTTGTTTCCTGAACACTAATAAATGAGCACATTCAGATGTTAATACAGCAAAACCATAACCAAAACATTTGATTTGTTATTATAACATTATCTACCTTTATATTATAATAGTTAGACATAGTTAGGGTATTAAACAATAAATACCACCATCTCATATGCATAATTGGATCTTTTGGCTCTCATACTCTCTAGCATGGTTACATTCTTCAATTGGCTCTCATGAGATTTTGAATTAATAGAACTAACCTGGTCAACACCAACTGTATCATCTTTAGCATTAGCAGCAAAATGGTAGGTATGTTCATCTTCAATAGTTTCACTGTTAGGATCATATTCATTAACAACTACAGGTTCAGAACTTTCATTGGTGATTTCAACAACAGCTACAAATATCAAATACACAGTGTTAGTTATGGACACATTAAAAAAAAATGTACTAATATAATAAACAACATACATCATCCTGTACCTACAAACAATATTATCTTTCTATACTTTATACTGAAAATCATACATACATGTTATATGAAACCTTTTACCGAATTATTTCAATTCAGCTTGCACTTCTTCCAATTCTTACACTATATATAAGTTAACAATTATTTTGTCCAATTTTGTGGATAAAGAAACTCTTTACTTACTTTCATCTTCTTTAGGTTTTGATGTTTCAACTTTAATCTCTGTTTCTGGTGGTCCCATAACAATATTCAGAATAGATTGGTCTACAGCCTTGTATCTCTGACGGAATTTCTCTGTAATATAAAAATATTGAAGAAAATGTCAAATAGGCTATGTTTCCCATGGCTATAATTGCCTTCACCCTTTAAAGAGCTATATCTTAAGAACACTTGTATTGAATTGAAAAGAAAAATTGAATTCAACAATACTGTAATCATTTTAGTGTGTTACAGAAATATAAAACCACTTGGGCGTTCCATAGATAACACAATTATCTCAGGCTTATCTCAATCAATTACAAAATCTTCAGTTAGTTGACAATTCTCTTTATTCAAAAAGGTTTAACACAATGTATTTAGTCTGAAAATTGTCTTAGTCTAAATTTACTTATGCTATTTTTTTTTAATACAAGAAACTAGCCTTGAATTGTTTAAGGAAGAATCTATATTTTCACTTACGGATATCGGGTAAGACTTGACGTTCAATTTCTGGGAATCGAGCCAACATTACCATAGTTTGGTTTAATCTTTGGCTGATGAGATCAAGATGTTCCTGCATGTGAGGGTAGATTTTCTTAGCCTCCTCTTTATCAGTATAGACTGTATGTTCATAATGGTTAACAGTGTGCATTCTATCATTCTCTTCAGCTCTAATATAGGCTTTCAATGCTTTCAATACTTTATGAACCTAAAAAGAAAGAAATTTAATACATAGTAAATATCCATCATGGTTTAAAATGCACTTGTACCAGTCTTTATTCAATATTCAATGTCTATTATGTAAAGAGGAAAAATTCTTCCAAGTTAGATTAGAATACCCTTCTTATCAAATTCCCTTTCTCAAAGAATTTTAATCGGATTTAAATACAAGAACACAGCATGAAACAACAGAACTAGTGTTCACTGTTTAACTGATGGTTGATAATGGATTAATTATTAATATTGATATATAAAATAGAAGTAATAATGTACAAAACTCTATAAACTTACATTTTGTTTTTGTAAAGCAGCAATATATTTATCCATATTAACACGTTTACGATTATTGAGTTCAGATTGTACACGTTGTTGATGTAAAGCTACCAGTTGTATTTTCTCTGCCTTGTCTTCTTGTTGACTTGATTTATACAGTCTCTTAAATTTCTGTAAATAATATCAATATTGAAGTTCCATAAGACAAATTTGATGCAAATTAAGACAAATGTTCCAAGATAATAGCTATTTATGATGTGGCACAAACTATCAAAAAAACTGAAACATCTTGTTAGCTCAACATAACAAATTTAGATCTATCTTATTGATGATTTTTCTTTCAATTCTGTTCTTTCGCTGTCAGCAAATAAAAAAAACCATCTATGTCATAACATGTGTCCTTTCTATGAGCTGTTCTCCTATCTAGCCTCTTGACAATGGTCTCTGTCATATACAAAGATGTAATAACTTACAGCAGTAATTTCAACCTCTACTTTCTTAGCTAAAGCAGCATTGGTCTTTCTTAATTCTTCAATATGGTCTCGAGCAGCCTGCCATTCCTTCATTAACTAGAATAGACAGAAAGAATAATTTATCACAATGAATGAGTGATTCTTTTAATAATGAATAATTGATTTATTTCAATACTAGCAAATTTTTTCCATTTTAAACCAAGTGATGATAGAAGGATAACGGATATGTAAGTTAAATATTTAAAATATCATAATGTCTGAACCAATGCAATGTGAAATGAAATGTTGATTCATATTCAGAGTTTTCGCTGAAAAGTCACACACCAGCCATTGATCAGACAAATTTTAAAACAAATCTGTTGTACAGAAACTTTACATTCAGAATTAGTTGTAAATGTGAAATTTCACATAGAGAGGGTACCAAACAGAATTGATCAAAATATTTTTTGTGAAAGGGAATCCTCAATCTCATCCACAAAATGATCAGATACTTACCTTAGTCATCTTTTCTCGTTGTTGTTTCTTCATGACTTTACGAGCTTCAGTGAACAGATGATGTTCATTCTTTCTTCCTCCTTTAACTTTACCCATATTAAGATAGGCATGGTAAGGATCAGCTTTCTCATCTTCTGATGATATAGCTGGATAATCACCAGTAACATTATCTTCATCATCTTCATCATCATCTTCAGTAGAATCATCTTCATTATCTTCTTCAAATATATCTGGTTTTACTACTTTCTTGTCATCTGAAATAATAAATAGTCAGACTTAAAAAATAATGTTTATATTTATATAGTTAACGTTTAAAACAATTGATGTATTTGAGCACTATCTTAACAGTGAAAATATTATATTATTATAATATTCAAAACATTCAAATCACGATTTGAGAAAACATTAGTCGAACACTTTCAGTTGGTTACTTGTAGACATACTAACATTTTTATTTATACCGACAACAAAATTTTCAATATAATTTTCTAAATATTTCAGAGCACCATCAGATTTATAATTGAGGGATAGTAAATATATTAAATATTATATCCAAGATTTCAAAGATTATAAAAACAATTAAAACAGTATATCCTTGTGCTATGAGAATACTCTCCATGCACATTAGAAGGCAAAAACTTGATGTAATTACTTTCTTCCAAAAGACTTATAGTTTAGAACAAAATACAATAAATACTTGACTTGGGAATATAACAGATAAAAACTGAGTGTTTCTTCTGATACTCAATGGTATCTTGGAAAATGAGAAAAGACAAGTGAATAGAATGAGTGATATTAAGGTTAACTGAACATGACAAGGAATTATTCCAGGAGTTTTACTAAGAGATAATTATGATATGATAATCAACTTGATATTATTCTCAATAACACTTATTGATCATAGCAGACGTGATGTTACAAAACAAAATGGCCGCCCTAGCTACAGCCTGCTGGAGTTTAGGTAAAGACTATTGATCGTCAGTAATGGCTTTAAGTCCTAGTCAGACAGTATTAAAGCAGACATCTAAAGAAAATATGTCCACAGTAGATTAACACTAAATAATATTGAAAGAGTTTCCTAATTTCTATTGATGACTGGAGGGCCTGACAGTAGCACGCAATTCTACTCAACTTTACTTCCTTTTTCTTTCATTTCATTAAAACATTTCTTTTATCAATAATGTCATGGATTTGTAGAATTCACAGGGCTTTTGGTGCAACAAATCACCTGATTTTCTCCAATTAATTCAAATTTGATGATATTTTGTTTATTTTTCTGGTTAAATCTGTATAATAATTTTCATCAATTGACAACTTACTGACACAGTTTTGACAAAAGCATTCATTATTTCTATACATGCTTCAATATTTCAAACTTCAGAACTTTAAAAATGTTTATCAAAATGCAAAAATATTGTACATCATATCAAAATACTGGATAAAAAGTTTAGTGTGTCTTTCTATATTTGTTTTGATACATTAGACATTTATCATAATCCATCACCTAGGGCATTCAAGAAAATAGATTATATGACCTTTTCAAGAATCAATCTATCTATTTTAGTTCTTGGCTTCAGACACACATTGTATAATGATTTATATTGTTAACCAATAACAAACTAACAACATTATCTTGTTGACAAACAAACAATTCTGATAACAAATAACAATCTTCAGATATCTAGTTGACAGAATATGGTATAACTTTAAAAACAATAAAAATCTAACAACCTTGTCTAGTTGACAAACAAACAATTTGATAACAAATAACAATCTTCAGATATCTAGTTGACAGAATATGGTATAACTTTAAAGACAATAACAATCTAACAACCTTGTCTAGTTGACAAACAAACAATTTGATAACAAAATAATAACCTCAGGATATCTAGTTGACAGAATATGGTATAAAATTCCCAACAGTTCAATAAAATCATTTTTCTTTTCTTGTTTGACTTCAAACAGTCTGTTAGTTTATATGTGGTTAATTGTACACTTGTAACCATATAAACCTGTTTTAAAACCATCCTATATAATTATGATCTTTGAATGTACATAGAATTTCCTTCTACTTTTAATATATTGAATAATCTTTGACTTGGCCCAGTTCAGATGATATATTTCATTAGATTTGCCATAATGAAATAGACTGTAATAGAATAGATTTTTTTGTAAATTTGATAACAGAGAACCACTTGATGACAATGCCAGGGGTTCCAGAGGCGATCATACTAGCCCTCAGTTATACAACAATTCCTGTCAGATGATACCACGAGATAACTATCAATCCTTTTTTTTAAAATACACACTGAATTAAAATTTACATTGCATCAGACATATATAGAGGAATTTTCTTCTCTTATAACCCTTACACTAACCATAGGTCAAAACTAGAAAATTAAATTCTGAAAGATAAAAACCTAGTACAATTACTGTGAGGGAAAATAATTAGTTCATGAATAAATAAACTGTCTATATATAATCTGATCAGCCAACACAATTAAAACTATAGACTTATTTCCTACATTTATACATTTACTATTATAATAGTTTTTCCTCTTACTAGGAAATCATGTCTATTTCCTTATATTAACCTAAAAAAAATTGATTTATGTTTAAACTTCAATTAATCTCCTTGATCACAACCCCATTTTTATTGTTATTTCTAATCAAAACATTGTGAATTCTAAACTGATCATAAAACTTAGGACATCAAAAACAAATTATGTTTTTGAAAATTGACCGAATTTGGATTCTCGAAAACAAAATATTTTTGACATGACAATTTTATATTTGAAAGTACAACTGTGTAAAAACAGGATGAGAAACCTAATTGAAGTCATTGGTCAAGAAACTTTCTATCGATTTTCTATCATCTTCTATTCTATATTACTTCCAAGTTTTTACAAGACAAAAACATAAATGTCAATGAGCTACAAGATACTTTAGAATCCATATTCTCATATAATTGAAATTATTGACTTGGAAATTAGCTTCACACATTGCTGACTAAATGGCTAGGGAAAGATGAAATAACTAATATCAATATCAGCAGGCTAGAGGCTTGTATTATATATTTAGATATGATACCCCAGGCTCCCACTCCCCTATTATGTTTTACCCTCCTACTATGGCACAATATCAAATGTTGACAAAATACAAGATAACTTGCATTTTAAAAAAATAATTGTAAAATAGAGCCTTGCTCTCATAAAGTGTATATCTGCCTAACTATATGAACAGGAAAATTTCTTAATATTTTACTTTAATTCTGTGGTAAATGACAAGAGCTTATCTTATACAGTTGAAATCAATCTCATATCAAAAGATGACAAATGACAATTTCAATAAAGTTTGTAATTGTGCATGTCAAGTCACAAGGGAAAATTCATTTATATTCCATTTATATGAAATATGGGAAAAGATCTATCTGACAGAAATGTTACTTCTATATTGAGAGATAAAAATAATCAATGACTTCATTGCAGATTCAGACTTTTTCTACATCAATCCTACAATTACCAGCATATTCAATCAGTCATTGGTAACAGAATTTTCATTCTAAACATGGTCATCAATGTCACAGAACATTCATCCAAAAATGGCCACTCATGTAAGAGAACACTGATTTAAACATGGTCACTGATGTCAGAGAAAATTCCTCTGAAAATGGCCCTTGATGTCAGAAAACATTCATCCAAACATGACCGCTGCTACTGAAAGCATTCATTTAAACATGGTCACTGATGTCAGAAAACATTGATTTAAATATGGTCACTGATGTCAGAGAACATTCATCCAAACATGGCCACTCTTGCAAGAGAACATTCATCTGAAAATGACCATTGATGTCAGAGAACATTCATCCAAACATGGCCACTGCTACTGAGAGCATTCATTTAAATATGGTCACTGATGTCAGAGAACATTCATCCAAACATGGCCAATGCTACTGAAAGCATTCATTTAAACATGGTCACTGATGTCAGAGAACATTCATCCAAACATGGCCACTGCTACTGAGAGCATTCATTTAAACATGGCCAATCATGTCTGAACATTCATTCAAACATGGCCACTCATTTCTGTGTCCATGTGTCATGTCATGCTTTCAATCCATTATAACTAATAGGATGTGTAATATGTAATAAATATTGACAACTCATATAAGACACACATGGTTAAATTGTCTAGAACAGACTGACCCTCACAGATATCAGATGACCCAAACCTAATTCTTATTGATAGAAACTGGAGACATTCATCGGGTGGCAAATAAACTATGGCAGATTTCCATCAAGGATAAAACAAACTGCAATCTAGGGAAAATCTTACAGTGATAAATATAACAAGTCCAATGGGATTTATTTCAGATATCTCATAATCAACTCTTTGGTCCACAATTCATAATCAACACACAAAATTCAAAGGACCAATTTGAAATTTCAGGAGCCAATAAAAGTGACAAGCCTCAAATTGAAATTCAGATTACAAGATGATTATTTATTCTTTGGAATAAATTGTTCTAATTATCTGTAAAAATCTAGTTCCACCAAAACCAGATAAAACCCAGGCTTTCAAAGAGATGTGATTGGACACATAGTGCAAGAAACATTTCAAAATCTAGAAACCAAATGACTAAATGTCATCTGCATTGAATTTTCGTTGGGCAAAAAGTGTCAGTACCAGACAAGACCAGATGATTACAAACTCTCTTATCTTCATAGACTCTCAGAAATAAACCTGTTTTGGAACCATTCAACTTACATTCTCAATCAAATCATGAACATCATTCTTGTAATAAATAAAATATTAGCACCTAACTCTTTAAATAATTGATTTATTCTAGTGGAGTTATTCTCTCTTTTATATCCAGCTACTTCAGTTTACTATCTTGAGGCTGCTTGTCTTATTACTGAGACTAATCAATGCCATATTGCAGGAATAAGCCCATTTTACTTGCTAAATTCTGTAGGATATTCTACTCAATAAATACAATCTATATGGCCTGCTGGTTTATAATAAGATTGATGTAATTTCAAACTGAGAATTATTAAGTGTTATTCTGCTACAAGAGAAACAATGTTACAGTATTAGCTAGCAGCTGGGTGATATACTGGTATTATATTAGATACTAATGTTAATTTCGTAATTACATATCAGTTAATATATATATATTTTATATTCATATCATTTTAAAATACTGTTAGATATTACAGAATTAAATATTTGTGTTAATCCTGATAATAAGATT